AAGCTTCTGCAAAACTTCTTCAACGGGTTGAAACTGAACAAGTCGACTAACCCAGAAGAAGCCGTGGTCTACGGAACTGCAAAGCAAACCCAGACCTTTACCACTTTCGCTCATAATCAGCCTGCTGTAAGCCTCTAAGTTTACGAAGGCGAGTGAGCGATTACTTAAGATAACAACTTTCTGAAAAAATCTAATTTAACTGGAATTACTTCGACTCCTCACGGTGTATCTTGAAGATTGGAGTCACGTTCGACGTAAATGCGTAAATGCATTTTGAATATCTGCGGTCGACAAATCGACTGACAAACAGAATAAAACTACAATCACTAATGATAAAGGTTGACTGTCGAAGGAACGTATAAAAATACAAAGACGAGGATGACAAACAGAAGGCCCGCATTTGTGCCAAAGATGCACTGGAAATGTGTTGCCTTGGTGTCAAAATGGCACTAGAAGACTCTGGCTCTAGGAAACTTTCAGACAATGATAAAGAGCCAGTGTTGAACAAAGTATCACAAGTTCCGTCTTAGCTTGATGCCAACCAGTTGACCAACAAGGAGAAGTACGACTTTCGTCGCAAGAAAATAAAGAAGATCGCTATGCCCTTGATAACCAAAATGCACTGGGGTGGCCCAGGAACGGAAAGCGCTCCTTCAGCCACGAAGCGATGATCAGACACCCACAATCAAGGAGGTGGATTAAGCGATGTCATTTATATCAGTTGTAAAAAATTAAGAAAATATGAATTAAGAAATAAAAAAATTACATGAACTATATATAAGACATATATTCATACATCACATGCATTTATTACTAGAAAACCCTCATAAAACGATACTATAATACACCTTTTAATAATGCGCTTTCTACCAGCATCAATGAAGAGGAAAGAGCAAAGAGAGGAGCTCTTTACCAGTAAGGAGTGATAAAGCTGAAAAAACGATCTTGTTTCATTAAATAATAAACATGTGTATTTAAATAAACATTTAACACACCGTCCTTCCTTAATAATGTTTATGAATAAAACGTTAGATAAAAACGTAGCTAGCTTTTAAGGAGTTTTTATTACCGTGGTATATGCCTCTTAGAAAAACTAACACTACTAAAAACACTAACTAATACTAAAAACACTAACAGATGAACAAGCAGGTTTCGTCGTGTGTTTCTACTTAATATTTCTCTCTGGAAGGGAAACAGCGAAGTTACGATGACTCGATATCTGTGTGTGTGTAGGCTATAAAAACAAGGCAATATCTCGATGCAATGCTTAACGGCAGCACTGAGCATAAGAATTTAGAGCATTGAGCTGGTTGATATTTTTACGTTGGCATATAATTACTAGGGCATTTTGTACCTATGCGCTTTTACAAGTTTGTTGGAGAAAAACCTAAATAAGTTTAAGAAGACTCATAGACTGAATAGCCAACAACGGATGGAAAGAAACATAGCATTTCACATGGGGACTGACACTCTATATAAATTCTCCTTTCGCTGGTTTCGACAGGAAACTGAAATAAGCCCAGTTATTGCGTGAGCCTTCTCCTAGAAGTCCGCGAAATTAAAAGTGCAAGGCAGATATATGTATTAAATAAAACTTAACTCTAATCTCAATATTGTACACATTCTGTCAAGGACCTTGCCATTGGAGGCTTTAAGAAAAAAATTATTATAGTAGATTATTGCTTCTTTATACTAGTAAATGTACGGCGATTCGTCTACACGGTTGCCTGAAACTTTCTTTTAATGCTTCTAAGGTATGCAGAAATTTGACTAATCTATATGCATCTCACAGGATTAAGTGCTCTCTCCCGACGTTACCAGCACTTAGAACAGTTAGAAGAACCATGTAGGAAATAGACAATGCATTAAACTCGAAAATGCACAATTTGAAAAAGAAGAAGTCTTTTGTTATTGTCTTGACAAATTTATGTTAATTGAAGTGAGCGCCTTCGGAAACTGTTTTAAAATATTACTACCTGACTCTGTTTGGACGAATTTTTATTATTAGAGTTGCCCTTTTATTTTGCCTTTGTGTTGCTATCAGGCAAATTTCGTGGATCATGTGTTCTTTAAAGCGCGATTCTTTGCAAAATAGAGCTTTTCTATTATTTATTATACGTTTTTCTTGTATTAATTCTCCGTTACATGAGTTTGCGCGTACTGTAAGTCATACCGAAGTGCTCCCTGGATAAGCTGGTAAGTTTTTTGTAAAAAATATGCACAAATAAGCACCTTTTTGATTAAATCACATTCACTTTTCATATTTTACCCGCAAATAATATATTACACGTTGCTAACATTGGTGAATTGTACCGTATTTCGTTTTTAGTAAATACTAAAGCAACTTAAGGACCATTCAGTTACGAACAGATCTCGTGTTCAAATAACTGCAATACAGGTTAGAGCAAAATTTTTAAACAGTGTCAATGTGTTTTTTAAGATGCTACATCTCCGTCATATTGTTTTTCCCAAAATAAATTGCTAATCAGAACCAATTGACGACGTAAACGTCTTCCAGCAATCCGTTTAGTTATTTATGCCGCAGTTGCTCGCCAGCCGCATCGTCTATTTGAGGTTTACACATATCGTTCTTTTAGCAAAAAATCTCTATATACTAAATTGAAGTACTATGCTGAAAGAAATCGGGCTCAGATTTTGAGGTGGTGTGAACAATAATGGGTTTCATTATGGCATACATATGAAGCAGGAACAGAGATATCAGGCTATAGAAAGCTGTCACGCAATAATTAGTTCTTTAGTCCTTAGCAGATCCTTGGCTTAAACTGCATCCAGCTCTGTAATCCCTCGGACTTCGCTACTACGGAGGCTACAGGATGCGCTCTCAGCCTTGTCGCCAATACTCATCCTAAACGGTAGCAACGAACGCAAAACTTGAAAAACTTTGCTAACAAAGATTTCATTTAGACTGAGCACAATTACTCAGGAGTTACACAAAACAATTCTGATCAAACGGAGCTCCGAGTTGTACTATAATTCCAATATGTGAGTTGCTGGCAATGCACGAATTTCGATTTCAGGGTATTTGCGATTATAGTTATATAGGTCAGTGGATATATATATATATATATAATAGTTAATATGATGCTCCTAGCTTCGATGCTAAAGGGAGGCTCGCGAAAAGATCGAATTTTTCAACCTCTATAACAAGTTTCGCTGTCGAACGTGATGTCAAGAAACATTATGTCTAGCTAAAAATTATTTAGAATGAACCTTTCGAAAACAAGGAATGTTGACAATATCTCGAGTTTATAAACTGGATATTAGCAACGTTAATAGCTAAAACTACAGTTTTTGCTAACAATTTCCAGCCGGTGGCGATCTCTAATACTATACACTAACTTTACTTCATTTGTAGTTCAACTGATTTCAGCTGGTGTATGTAGTTTTGCATATCAAAAGTTGGCTTTACGGTAATGGCCAGATCTTCAATACAGCCAGAAAATGTTTGGTGTCTGTTCCTTGAAAGAGTCAGAAAATTCAAGGATTAATTATAATATTATGTTAAAATCCGATGGAGATGATACGCTCTTACCTGCATACTGTACATTGTGATGTTTTATGTTGTCGTCAATTTTCCTATGTCAATGAAGCGCATTACGGAGAAAAAATGTGAACACATATTTTTTGGGACTAAAGCTACTGGTTTCAAAAGCTTTCGGGCTTCAACATAAACCTTTTTTGTCTTTATGGAAAGATATGAGGCCATAGGTCCTATACAAATAATCTTGAGCAAAACAGAGGAATAATTTTTCCTGTATAGTTGAGTTTTTTTGAGTACTGTGAAGTTTTTGTCCTCGGGCAATATTTAATAGTGGTAATTTCGTTATATGTTCATCATGACAAATTTAATTGTGCAGTACATCTGTGTAGCATATATATGATAATTTAAATGGTCCTATTAATTAATACTAAATTACCCTGCAATGTGTTGGTAGTATAATGCTATAGGGGAATACTATGGTCTATGATACTACGATCAAAGATGTTGCACCAATAAATTCGTTCTTTATCGTATTCTTTATAACTTTTGCTACTTTAAAATATTTGAAATGAAGAATATTTGAAATGAATAAGAGACCATTTTCAAATTGTCTGTTCACATATTTTTTTTTATCTTACTTTATATTTTAGATCCTCAATTTACTAACTAGATATTCCTAGCTATTATTCTACACAGTAATACTATAATAATTTATCTAGATTTGCCTAATATTCTCGATATATTCCAATTTTTTTTAATATACATGACATTTTCGATATCGTTAAGGTAATGAAAATTTTCAATTTCATTTTCCTGGTAGGCTACGCAGACAACCTACCCATTTATTTTTTTCAATTTTAATCTTTGTGGTGATTTCTTACCGCTCACCGAGTTATAATTTCAGGTTTTTTTTTTACTTGACTCAAATTAACATAAACTATTAAAACTGGTTTCGCTCTTTTCATTCAAGCACCATAATTACAAATGTAACCGATTTTATTTCCTAATTTAAGCATCCCCGCCCATCTTTCCATTGATGATTCCATATTAAATTGGTTACGGTAAAACTCGCGTAACGATTTCTTCTTTTTACGGTAGTATGTGTTCAATAGTTCCATAAAACAGCATCACTGAACTTTATTTCACTTCTATCTTCTTTAATTCTGTAGCTGTTACTGCGCTGTTTTTTCGAGGAAGACTAGTGATCTTCGTAGTTCGCATGAGTCGCTCAAGCACCAAATAAAAAACCGATACTTTTAAATGCACTTAAATTTAGATTGCATCCGTAACTGCGTCCCCTATGATGAAGCAACGTTAATCTTTAGACCACAGCTTAATAATCGATACTCTCTTTATAGGCGTCCGCAGATCAATATCAACCGTTCAATATATCAATATAATCAATATAACCGCACTCAATACCGTTTAACTAACGAGAGAGAAATTTATCATTCTTATCAGATATGCGGCCTCATTTGTTGAATAAAAACAATCAATATGCAATAAATATTGGCTTCTTTATTTCCTTATCATCAAGTAATAATATATAATAATGACTTAATAGCAAAAAAGATCGAGATCTTCACACTCATTGTTCTGCTGTTGCTGTTGTTGTTGTTGTTGTTGTTGGGCTCGTCAGCTACTATCGATGTCAGCATCTCTTGTACTGTTGCATCCGAGGCAAATGCCTATCATCAACACCTAATTCAACGCAGTGAGTAGAGGCCTATATTGTTTATCATAGCAGGTTGTTAATTTAGTAAATATGCCTAACTAACAGTTCGGTTTCAGTCGGCTCAGTCAACCTCTTCAACCGTGGGTCCGCTGTGATCGCCGGCGCCAGGCGTAGTGCCCGGCATGCCTCCCGGCATGCCTCCCGGCATCCCGCCGGGCATGCCACCTGGAGCTCCACCATGAAGTTTCGTCATAAGGGGCATCGCGAGCTGTTCAATTTCCTTGCGGCGATCCTCAAATTCGTCCGTCTCAGCCATCTGGTTGTTGTCCAACCAAGATATCATTTCATTGACCTTCCCTAGAACGGGTTTCTTCTCGTCTTCAGTGAGTTTCTCGGATCCGGCGCCCTCAAGAGCCGACTTTATGTTGTAGCAGTAGCTTTCCAATGCGTTCTTAGCCGCGATACGATTCTTCTGCTTATCGTCCTCGTCTTTAAATGTTTCAGCTTCTTTCACCATTCGCTCAATGTCTTCCTTGGATAGACGGCCCTTGTCATTCGTAATCGTAATCTTATTCTGTTTTCCAGTTGATTTGTCGACGGCAGACACGTTCAAGATACAGTTCGCATCGATATCGAACGTCACTTCGATCTGAGGTACACCTCGAGGCGCTGGCGGAATGCCGCTCAAGTCGAACTTCCCAAGTAAATTATTGTCTTTTGTCATTGCGCGCTCACCTTCATACACTTGAATAGTGACGGCTGGCTGATTGTCAGCGAAAGTACTGAAAGTTTGAGTTTGGCGCGTCGGAATCGTGGTGTTACGCTTGATCAGAGTGGTCATAACGCCTCCGGCGGTCTCAATGCCCAGTGACAAGGGGGCGACATCGAGAAGCAGCAGATCCTGCACAGCCTCAGAGGTATCGCCACTAAGGATCGCCGCCTGCACAGCAGCCCCGTAAGCCACGGCTTCATCGGGATTGATCGACTTGTTGAGCTCTTTTCCGTTGAAAAAGTCCTGAAGCAATTTCTGGATTCGTGGAATACGGGTCGATCCTCCCACGAGAACAATGTCGTGAATTGACGCTTTGTCCATTTTCGCATCTCGAAGCGACTTCTCGACAGGCTCGAGCGTCGACCGGAAGAGATCGGAGCAAAGCTCCTCAAATCGGGCACGGGTTATCGACGAATAAAAATCGACACCCTCAAACAGCGAATCGATCTCAATCGAAGCCTGTGTCGACGACGACAGAGTTCTCTTCGCACGCTCACAGGCTGTTCGCAAACGGCGTAAGGCGCGCTTGTTGCCCGTCAGGTCTTTCTTGTGTTTGCGCCTGAACTCTTCAACGAAATGATTTACCATGCGGTTGTCGAAGTCCTCACCACCAAGGTGCGTGTCTCCAGCAGTCGATTTAACTTCGAACACGCCATCCTCGATTGTAAGGATCGACACATCGAATGTGCCACCGCCCAGATCGAATATGAGAACGTTGCGTTCGCCCGTGGCCTTCTTGTCCAGGCCATAAGCAATGGCTGCCGCAGTTGGCTCATTGATAATACGAAGCACGTTTAAGCCGGCAATGGTGCCAGCATCCTTTGTAGCTTGACGCTGTGAGTCATTAAAATAGGCCGGTACCGTGATTACTGCGTCAGATACGGTACCGCCCAGGTACGCCTCGGCAGTTTCCTTCATCTTCACCAGCACCATCGATGAGATTTCTTCCGGGAAGAAGGTTTTTTTTTCACCTTTAAACTCCACTTTGATTTTTGGCCTGCCCTCCTCGAGTACGACCTCGAACGACCAGTGCTTCATATCACTTTGCACCGAATGATCCTCGAACCGGCGGCCGATGAGCCGCTTTGCGTCGAAGACCGTATTGGTGGGATTCATGGCCACCTGGTTTTTGGCCGAATCGCCAATCAATCGCTCGGTATCAGTAAAGGCGACGTACGACGGCGTCGTACGGTTACCCTGTTCATTTGCGATGATCTCCACCTTGCCATGGCGGAATACACCGACACACGAGTACGTCGTCCCGAGGTCAATACCAATTGCGGGTCCGCGCGAAGGCATCTTAGCTAGTTTCTCTTGATTGTTCTGATTGCTGTAAGCTAACAACCTATAGCGGAACTCACAGCCGCTTAATCACGTCGAACGGTAATTGATTTAAACAACAGCTCAAGTTTTATCAACGACGGGTAGTAATAGCACAAACCACCTGGTAGCACAGCAAGTTGGCGTGTTCGGCTCTCGACTTAGATAAATTGTGATCGTCGTCGTCGTTTACTTTGTAGTCGCAAGAAACTGCCACACCACTCACATCCAAGTCACAATACGAACTAACGCCAGCAAACCACTCTATTGCTTGTCTACCTATCTGCCCGCGAGTAACACGCCTCCAAATTGTGCCAATATTGGCGCTGAGGTTGGCTTTTAGCGCAAACCCAAGCGCCCCCTCGTGGCTAGCGATCGAATCCAGAAGGTTAGAGAAGCTTTTAGAATGTTCTATTAGGCGAGGGCAGCGCCAGTAAAAGGAAGCGGCACGATGGACGCCACGTGGTTCAACGATTGCCGCTTGTCTGACGCGTTGTCATTCCCAGGTGCCTATACCAATGGCGGCCATACTGTGCCCGTCCGATGCCACGGATGACGCACGACGGTGTCCGCTGCAACGGCGGCGAATGGTAGCTAGGCTGACACAGCCGATGTCAAGCCCAAGTCGCATTTGGTAGCCTACAGATACGAATATAAGGGTAGAAACCGCAACGGCGGCCCTGATGATGTCGGTGGGGTGATAGAGAGCGCGCGTCATGCCGCGCTATTTCATGTCGATTCATCTCACAGCAACGAATGGTACAGGACTATATCAGGGAAAAATTTTTATTTCGGGAATGAATGCGGTGACGATACTGATGTTAATAATTATAATGAGGAGATATCAATTGTCATGTGCTTTGTCAGTTGCGTATTAAATCTAGTCGATGCTATGTATGGGCACATAAATGTGACACGGGAGCGTCTAGCTAATGAAGTGCTATACTATATGATAATCAAGGAAAATTACTTGCATGATTCCTAAGTAAAGTATCTGAACCGATTCGGGTGCTCGATATTTGGTGCATACTATGAGATACACGCACTTTGTTTTGTCTGTCGCATTATACTGCTGATAAGATTGTCAATATCGAATTCGAAGTACTATTTCGATAAAGGCTGGAAAGACTTCTTAGTAACGGCAATCTTATGGATTGGCGTTACGTACGTTTTTAAAAGAAACCCCTGTTATTAGAAAGCAATGCCTACTGTTGGGCAAATAGCTACAAGTCTAGATCATTTATTCCAGAGATAGTGCAGTGATGACGCGTCTGCTCTGTTAGAGACTCACGGTAGTTAAGGTTTAATTCTGGGCGTAGGGACATGTTCGTTTCGTGCTGGGACATACAAGCTATCGGAAGCAATGCTTAACAGGTTAAGTACCGAACGTAACATTTTACGATTTTACCTTAAATATAGGTCATCTAATATGTTTGCTCCATCTGCATAGAGACGCGAAGTCGGTTTTACCGCTGCAGCGATTTTTAGATCAGCGAGAGTTATTTGTATGAATATCAACTAGGGAGCTTCTTTTATAAATAGAACGTATACAGGTGCCAGTCTGCGCCACTGCCGCACCACTGGCACTGAATGAACTATGTGGACAATTATAATACTTAAGAAACGATTTTTTCCGTATAAACATTATTCCGCAGTGTTAATCCACAAGGGAACTTGCCGGAGCCGTCAATTCAGGCTTGCGGTTCTTTCTGATTTTTTTTTTGTTTCGAACAATTTGTCGAATAAATATGAATGGTTTCTTAAAGCTCACCACGTTTTTAAATTATTCCGGTATTCAGAATCCACTTTTTGCACGTACTAGTTAACAAGTTACATAAATTGACAGCAGCTAACATCAAGATTGCTATTCGCATCTTTATTTCTTATAGAAATGGATACAGTTTGAGACGCAGTTTCACTTTGAATAACTGACCTAGTCATTGGCGTAATAACATTGCAACGTTACCAATGGTTACCTCAAGCTTGGCCTGGAATAGATGCTTACGAAGCCTTATGCGTACTATGTATGCTATATGGTATTTGCAAACCTGAACTACTATGCTAATGGTTTACAGAGTACAACAAGACAGCTTGTTTGATCAATATATATATATATATATATATATATATATATGTATATATATATAACCATACTGAGAGAATTCCGATAATGCATGGGTTTATAATTTTTTACTGTAATAACTACACAATATTTTTATGAAATTCCAAAAACCAGTCATACTAAAAGATTATTTGCTAATCATTTTGCGGTGCACGTTTACTGCCTGCAACGAGATTCGTTTCTCGGTATCTTACTCGGTACAAAAAATTTTATTATGCCTAAAATGAAAATCACTGCAGCGACTGAATTCGCCGTGGACTCGTGTTTAATCTGGACGAGACACTATTCTGGCAGCACATCGGCACGGACTGTGACTATACGGCAGTCCAAGCTGTGTACCATGCATATTTTGTAATATACACCTTTAGATTCTGGTAAATAATTAAACCTACATTTTATACTGAAAAAACGACAACTTCTGTAGTTTAAAGGACATTCTTTAATATAAAATTATTTCTAAAAAATTGTTTCGGTATTTCATAGTTAGCCTTAATTATTTGGAATTGCACCTTTTTACTATGACAGCAAAACAAGAAATCTCAACACAATGCTAAAAAAGATGCTAAGAAACAGGCCAGTTGTTAAATTTTCTCTCCTAAGCTCCTAAAGTTCATCTCCATGAAAATTATCAGTAACGGTCAATCTGGAACGTCTACACAAAACGCGTTTTCTTGTTAAATTAGAAGGCTTGTGGCACTCCTTTCTACTCCACATAACACCCGCTTTACGCTTTTTATGTTAAACAAAAAAGAAATCCAGCAAACGTTCAGAACATATGCATATTCTGTAGTCTTTTACTTTCGGTACGATCGTGAAGGATATGGAAACATTTGAATGTCGCGGTGCTAGTGGCAACGGGGGTTGTAGAAGCTCATAATTGCGCTGCTGTCTCAACTAATTCCCTAACCAAAAGAGGCCAAGGTTTCGTTTAGACTTCTTTTTAAGTCAGAACCAAATAAATGCGGTGATCTACTGCGGCCGATAACTGTAAAAAATGAAGGGTTAATTTTTTTTTGAATATTTTTTTTCTGAGACTACAAACACGAGTTGGGATATTTCAATGAACAAAATTGAATTATTTATTTCGTTATTTGTAATTCATCTTTTCTTCTATATATCCTGGCAAAGACCCCCTGAATATACCATATTGGAGAATATAACGGCTAAGCCAGAACGGTCGGATTTGTAGAGGCCGAAGGGAGCAGCAAGGTTGCAGGCAGAGCGGCAGAAAGAGTGATGATAATTCAGTGGCGCACATTTCCTTCAATAGCTCTTAAATTATTTAGTGAGGATCTGGGTTGAATGTGTATTATTCACAGAAACCAACTCGCCGAATTATAACTATTGGCTTTGTGTTAATTGCAGTTGCTTTGCTTATTCATTTCCATAAAAGGATAACAGGACTAGACCTTTGATTTCGCATCGTTCAGTGCCTACATCGATGCACGGGCTGCAGAACCTTGCGCCACTCGGACTTTTGTTAGAAGCGTCACCCCTCCTGTTATCTAATACTTTTACATGACAAATAGTCAAGGTGAAAACAACCCAAAAAACTCAAATTCTGATTAATTTTAAACTCAATTCCATACCATAAAACAATCTAGCCGATGTAAAGGGTGCTTCGGGTTCCTTGGAATATATGTATGCCGAATGTAATGTTTTGTCTCCATTCAATCGTCAGACTTCTGCCAGCCATTTGCAGCTATATTTTTCAAATCATATCCAATTTAGTTACCTAAAACCAATACTACGTCCATCTCATGTTAAGTAAACAAAATAACTGAATAACTGAAATATCATTGTTATAATCTATACAATGAATCCATCAAATATAGACGAACGTGTTAATGTGTCGCTTTTCAATATGAAATTATACTTCCCTCGAATAGACCAGTTTTCTGCCAGGCTCTGCCGAACTCGTATTACAACGAGTGACTGTAGTCGCCGAGGTGTCCCCCGCGGTGTCCCCATATCCCGGTATAAATCGGTCGCTCGCTAAACACGTTAGGCAAGTAAATCTGAGTAACTACTTTACAAAGTGTATCTATTTGATACTATATATAATATTTCAAAGTAATTTTAGTAATTTTATTTAATATTTTTGTTTGATTAACAAAGCAACAGTTGACTCGTTTGCTCAGCGGATGTGTCGCCACTATACTGCTCGAAAAATGCGTGTGACTCATTTTTATAAGCCATTGCTGCTAAACGCTCTGAATAGACGTCTATTGTACTTACTAGTTGTACTAAGTGAAACAGCTGTCGAATTAGCGAAATCAGTTTCTAAAAATGTCGTGCAAATTGCCCTCAAAATTGTCATACGGTCATAGGTCCTGAGTCACATCATAATTGTGGCGTCCACGAATGAACAGGATTGTACTAATGTAATAGTACTAGTTATATGAATCCAGAGGTACAAAAAAAGACGCAAAATTGGGCGCTTGCACTAAATGTACTATACACCAACGAGTAAGTGATCTTGCCGCTTCAACTGAGATAGAGAGAAAGATTTCTTCGCTCAGATCATGAAAGCTAAACAAGATCACGGCACAGTACGTGCCTTGTCGTCTGATCAAGCCATTCGCTCGTAAATCGACGGTTAATATGATACATCCGTGGTCCCGACTCATAGACACCGAAGAACACGCCCGAGAACTATTCGCAAACGCATCAGCTTCATTGGCTTTATGAAATCGGTCGTTTCTCATAAAAATTTTTGGAATAGTAAACTTAAAAAAAAAAAAGACTCACGTTACCAACTTTTCTCAACAATTCTCAAATGAATGTTTTGTAGCTCCCGAATCGTACTCCTGCTAGGCGTCTCGTAAGGTAGTTTAATAATCGCATAATTTCTACTGCTTTGTGATATGATTTAGTTTCCTGGACGTACTGACTTCCTTCTAGGGGAATTACAAATAGTACCAAAGTTTTTACAGCTACACTGAAATAGACCAGTTCATCTGTATTCACTAATGATAAATGAACGCAATATCCTTACGAGTCTAATTTTCCGGTTAGTACTTAATAATAATATTAATAGAAAAAATAGTAACATTATGCTGAAAGTGGCTTCTATGTATACGTTCTCTATTTAACAATTAGTGCCGAATGCATCGCAAGTAATTTACATACAGAGAAATTTATAGGCCCTTTCCTTACGAGCAAACTATTCAAATGCGTGAAAGGAATCAATCTACATTTACTCCAAACTGCGAAATCCCCCCAAAAAACGTTTAAGGCAAATTGTCTTTTTTCTTATATACTTATTTTTTGTACTATTATTAGTAAGTGCTCCGCTATGTCGGCAACTAAAGCTACTAGATTTAACTAAAACGGCCAATAGGAAATGAACCATTTTGTGGCTCAAACGGCATATGAATCTGTAAGGGACACTGTACGAACATTCTGAAAATTACAGGTCAGCAATGAAAAACCTTATGGCCGGGTAATGCCAATGCACAGACGAACTTATAGAAATGTTTCAATCCGTTACCCGATGAGGTTACCGTTTGCTAACGAACACACCGATACGAAGGTTATTCCGAATTTAGGCCGCAGTCGAATTGTAGATTTGTTTCGAGCTTGGAAATTATAGCAATCGTTTCAAAGTACGCTTAAATCTTGAACGTTTGGTCTGAATCCGTTTAGAACGCTATCCTGTAACTTGTAACGCTGTTTTAATATAATATATATATATATATATATATATAAAATTAGAGTTTTGAAACCATGGATTGCACGAACCCTGCACTCAGTTTGAATTCGCTCTTGACTACTGAAGCGTTCTTTGGTAGCATCGTGACGTTAACGCCCAGTACCATGCACTCGAGTTACCATTTCGACCATTTAATCGTAGTCAAACTAGACGCCATGTGATATTTAGAATTAAATATATTTAGAAAGCTTTTTCCACCCACCGCTTGGGTATAGGCAGTAGATTAATAAAGGTCAAGATGAAATAAATGTGTGACTGTCTACTCGCAGTCAAGTTTGACTTACTGTTCGGTATCACTCGTATCAGAATGTTATCTCCAAAAAAACATCCTATCATCTACCTAAACATGTTGAATGTGGTAAAGGCTTACGGAACGGTTTACCTTTGTGGAATGATTTCAAAATCTCATTTGAATTTCGACCAATTTTTAACAAACTCCGGGAATATTAGTTTGCGTTAGGTCGTCCAAGATCCAGTTAACAATACTGCACTACATAACGTGACGAAATCGAACTCAAGAACGTGAAGAAGATCCTAAACACCTATCTCATGGTCATAGCTCTCGACGTCTTCTCTCTCTGCTAAGAAACCTTCAGCGGCAGGATATTCTAGCTATAGCTGCAGCTAGTGTGTTCATCTATTGTTAACTTCGTTTCTTTTTTTTGCTTGACGCATCCATTATTATTAGTCTTGCTCAATCTATGCAAAAACTACGTATTTTTTGGAAATGTACATCTCAATAATTCTTATGTAAAATCAATACTTCCAAGTAGCTCATTGCTTCAGTTTGTAATACTATAAGTTAGCTCAAAATTGATAAAAAAACAGTTTGTTGTTTGGTACAATAATAAATTTTTTATAATAATTTCTCAAAAATTTAAGGTATTTTCTCGCGACGAGGTATATAAGTCCATGCCGAAATGCGATAGGCAGCGAAGAGATCGCTGTAATCGAACAGCAAAAAGCTAGAGCGAATTTAGCAGTAGCTGCAAGGAGAAGCAAAATTAGGGCGAAACTTTGGAGATTCGCGCTCGAACATTCATCAAGGAAAATTGTGCAGGTGGGAAGACAGTAACGCACGGGAGTTCGGTGGACTTAGACAAGAGAACGGTGGTACTCTTTAAATCGACCGTAGGACGCTAAATCACAAACATGACCTCAAAGGTTCCAGCCATTGGTATCGATCTTGGCACGACCTACTCCTGCGTGGGAGTGTTCCGCCATGGCAAGGTTGAGATTATCGCGAACGACCAGGGTAACAGGACAACTCCGTCGTACGTCGCATTTACGGATACGGAAAGATTGGTTGGCGATGCTGCGAAAAACCAGGCCGCTCTCAACCCTACTAACACTGTGTTCGACGCTAAGCGCTTAATCGGAAGACGGTTCGACGACCAGACTGTTCAGAACGATATGAAGTGTTGGTCATTTAAAGTGATCAACGAAAACGGCCGGCCGAAGATTCAAGTGCAGTTCAAAAACGAGAAAAAGAATTTCTACGCTGAAGAGATCTCGTCGATGGTATTAATCAAGATGAAGGAAACCGCTGAGTCTTACCTCGGGGGTAAGGTAACCGATGCCGTGATCACGGTACCTGCGTACTTCAACGATTCGCAACGACAGGCAACAAAAGATGCTGGTACTATTGCTGGGCTAAACGTGTTGCGTATCATCAATGAGCCCACAGCTGCAGCCATTGCATATGGCCTAGACAAGAAAGTGGCAGGAACCGCTAAAGGTGAAAAGAATGTTCTGATCTTCGACCTGGGCGGTGGTACCTTTGATGTTTCAATTCTCTCTATTGATGGTGGTGTTTTCGAGGTTAAATCCACAGCCGGAGATACTCATCTCGGCGGCGAGGATTTCGACAATAGGATGGTCAACCACTTTATCGAAGAGTTCAAGCGGAAGAATAAAAAGGACTTAACGACTAACAAACGCGCTCTTCGGCGTCTCTCGACAGCTTGCGAGCGGGCAAAGAGAACTCTCTCTTCATCTACGCAAACTTCTATCGAGATTGACTCCCTGTTCGACGGCGTTGACTTTTATTCGACAATTACGCGAGCCCGTTTCGAAGAACTCTGCTCTGATATGTTCCGGTCGACTCTCGAGCCTGTTCAAAAGGCACTAAAAGACGCGAAGCTAGAAAAGAATCAGGTACATGAGGTTGTGTTGGTCGGAGGATCGACACGTATTCCCCGGATCCAGAAGCTCCTTTCAGATTTCTTCAACGGTAAAGAATTGAATCAGTCGATTAACCCCGACGAAGCTGTTGCTTACGGTGCGGCGGTCCAGGCAGCCATCCTAACAGGGGATAAGTCACACGCCGTGCAGGACCTTTTGCTTCTTGACGTTACTCCACTTTCCCTTGGGCTCGAGACCGTAGGAGGTGTTATGACGACCCTTATTAACCGCAACACCACCATACCTACTAGACAAATGCAAACATTCTCCACCAATGTTGATAACCAGCCAGCCGTTACTGTCCAGGTTTATGAAGGCGAGCGGGCCATGACCAAGGATAACCATCTGCTGGGCACATTCGACCTGAAAGGAATTCCTCCTGCTCCTCGGGGAGTGCCCCAGATAGAGGTTACCTTCGATATTGACGCCAACGGTATCCTGAACGTCTCAGCCGTCGACAAGTCCACCGGCCAGCAGAGTAAGATTACCATCACGAACGACAAGGGTCGTCTTGCGAAGGAAGAAATCGAGCGAATGGTTAAAGATGCGGAGCAGTTCCGTCAAGACGATGACAGGCAACGAGCTCGTATTACAGCGAAAAATAACGTTGAGAGCTACTGCTTCAGCGTGAAGTCTGCTCTTGAAGGCCCTGGCGGTGAAAAACTTTCACCAGAAGAGAAGAAACCAGCTCTCGAGAAAGTTCAAGATATTATCAGCTGGCTTGACTCAGTTTCTAAACTAGCCGAAACGGACGATTATGATAGACGCCGGAGAGACTTAGAGTCGGTTGCTATGCCGTTGATGATCAAGATTCATCAGGCTGGATCCCAACCACCTCAACAAGCTGCAGCAGCTGCGCCTGTTAATGTGCCGCAGCCTAGCCCTGCTGCTGCTGCTGCAGAACCCCCAAGAAAGAACGCTTCGTCATAGGGTTTTTTCAATAAAAAATTATATATATATATATGACCCTAGACTCTTATATATATATATATATAACAAAATCAATATATATAATAATCAATATATATTAAAATTAAATAAAAAAGCTGATTAATAAGCTAAAACCTTTCCTCTTTCCTTCTCTGAGCACCCTTCCTCTTTCCTTCTCTGAGCACCCACTTTTAAAATAAGCTGTAATAAGCTAAAACCTTTCCTATATATCTTTCCTTCTCTGAGCACCCACTTTTAAACCTTTCCTATATATCTTTCCTTCTCTGAGCACCCACTTTTAAAATAAGCTGTAATAAGCTTAATAAGCAGCTTTAAAAAGCTTTAAAATAAGCAGCTTTAAAATAAGCTGTAATAAGCTGAACGCCTATTAAACACAAGCTGCACTTACACCCAACATAAAACACTTACACCTCAACAAAACACTTAACACCTCATTACACAAAACACACCTCATTACACAAAACACACCTCATTACACAAAACACACCTCATTACACAAAACACTTAACCATTGTACGCCTATTATTACACCTCAAACGCCTATTAAACACAAGCTGCACTTACACCTCAACATAAAACACTTACACCTCAACAAAACACTTACACCTCATTACACAAAACACTTAACCATTGTACGCCTAACACCTCAACATAAAACACTTACACCTCAACAAAACACTTACACCTCATTACACAAAACACTTAACCATTGTACGCCTATTATTACACCTCATTGTACGCCTATTAATGTACGCCTATTAAACACAAAACACTTACACATCCTCATTTAAACACACATAACACTTACACCTCATTTCAAACACAAACACCCTCATTTCAAAACAAACACTTTTACACCTCATTTCAAAACACAAACACTTTTTACACCTCATTTCAAAACACTTTTTTACACCTCATTTCAAAACACTTTTTACACCTCATTTCAAAACACTTTTTACACCTCATTTCAAAACACTTTTTACACCTCATTTCAAAACACTTTTTACACCTCATTTCCTTTTACACCTCATTTCTTATAGTATATGAATTGGCAATAGGCTTATTTCCATGTACGCCTATTAAACACAAAACACTAAACACAAAACCTCATTTCTTATAGTACGAAACATAAGAATTGGCAATAGGCTTATTTCCAGTTCACTCGCACTACTATGGAAATCTCATTTGATTTCTTTTCCTCCGCTTATTGATATGCTTAAGTTCAGCGGGTAGTCACACTTGATTTCAGATAAACATAACATAAGATGTTTATTATCACCCTTGTGATCAAAGATAATTTTTACTATTACTACTAAGCAATAGTAACTACGTATTATATGTATATATACTGAAACAAATGTAGCATAGATACAAGTGCATCCATACTAAAATTTTCATTCAAAAACACAATGCTCACACAACTTCACAACTCACATCAATTTCCACAAATTACTATGTTTTTCTTCGATTTAAGGACTAAGTGATCCCCCATATTGAGTCTTGTGATGTCTTCTTCTCGATAGCACAACTTGAAAAATGCTGTCGAACCGAACAGTGTCGGCGACGCGCGACACGATTGCGATCCTTAGTCAATAATATTAACTACAGCTATAAACACCTCTGCCATGAACATTCGTTGTGAACAAGCATTCACGACATAGACATCATACAACGACACTCGCTCATGTGAGGAATGGGTTTTGAATCAGTAATGATCCTTCCGCAGGTTCACCTACGGAAACCTTGTTACGACTTTTACTTCCTCTAAATGATCAAGTTTGATCTTCATTGCAATACAGGCACGTACAAAGTACATACCCGTCTACTCAGATGATCTCACTAAACCATTCAATCGGTAGTAGCGACGGGCGGTGTGTACAAAGGGCAGGGACGTAATCAGTACTAGCTAATGACTAGCACTTACTGGGAATTCCTCGTTCAAGGGGCACAATTGCAATCCCCTATCCCCATTAAGAAAAACATTCAATGATTACCAGCCTCGTTAAAGACTGGGAAACTCATTTTGTCTCTCAATGTAGCGCGCGTGCGGCCCCGAACATCTAAGGGCATCACAGACCTGTTATTGCTCTGTTTCAAAGTGTCATAAATATATATATTTATATATATATATATATATTTTTTTTTTTTATATTATAATATATATATTATATACCGATATTATATACCAATAGTATAGGTTCGGTATCTCAATACCATATATAGAATAACTCTTCAGAATTAGAAGAATTACCTTAGAATTATATATCAGTTATGATTACCTAGTCGTCGTCTTACTATGTGTCTTACTATGTAATATTTGCCTATAATTGTCAAACTGATATATAATTCTACCTTATTTGCCTTTAATTGCCTAACTGATGTATAACTCTACCTATGTTGCCATCTTTCGGGTCTCATACATCATATAGCTATATGATGAAATATGCTATGTATTATAATTCGACGTTAACATGACTTTCTTTACGTCACAAACGCGACTTTTTACGTCGCAAACGTGGTTTTTTAACATCGTAAACGTGACTTTTTACGTCGCAAGTGGGACGTTTTACGCCATAAACGTTGGTTTTTTAACATCGTAAACGTGACTTTTTACATCGCAAGTGGGACGTTTTACGCCACAGACGTGACTTTTTTATGGTTGTAGTGGCAACGGTTATAGCAATGCTGTGGCGCCATAAACGATGTGGCGTTCGCCCCTTTTCCTACCTCCCAGAACATTGAACAAATGAATCATGAAGGCAACCTACGTCACAAACGCGACTTTTTACGTCGAAAACGTGGTTTTTTAACATCGTAAACGTGACTTTTTACATCGCAAGTGGGACGTTTTACGCCACGAACGTGACTTTTTTACGTCACAAACCTGACTTTTTTATGGTTGTACTGGCAATGGTGATAGCAATGCTGTGGCACCAGAAACTATGTGGCGTTCGCCCCTTTTCCTACCTCCCGGAACATTGAACAAATGAATCATGAAGGCAGCATGAAAACAACAAGAAGGACAACAATCAACGCAGCGAGGAGCATCGTTCGTGATGAGTGCTACCAGTACTACTATTACTGGTGCTAGTACTCAGTGAATGCCAGTTGATAAAGGATGCTAGGGGGGAGCGGGGTCCGTGTAAAGGGGCAACAAGCTCAAGGCAAGGTGGCATACGATAGAAAGACGCCGCCGTACGCCTGTGATATACGACCTTCGCTGTGGTTGGAGCAACTGCAGCCAGCAGCGAGCTAACAAGCGGAATAGCGACATGGTGAACGACAACCCAATCTTTCTTGTTTCTCGTTTTAGTTTCTACAGTTTATTATACGAAGTTATATCACAGTTGTAAGTTTCGTGTAGTACACACCATTTCACACACGCAGTTATATAGTTTCTTATAGTTTATCTTAGTTTAGTATATGAGTTGACCTGTTTTGTGTGCACTACGTGTATCCTCTAGTTTCTTGTAGTTTAGCTAGGTTAGTTTACCCTGGTTTCCTGATTTTATAAATTATGTACCACCCTCACATTCAACTTATGTACCACCCGCGCTTGTTCGCAGGCATAGTTGCAGGACTGGTTGGTAATGTGCTTCAGACGGAATACGTCAGCCAATGGGCCGACCCTGGCAGGCCGTAAGCTTACCTTACAGATACTTCACCTATACATAATAATAATAGTAATAAGTGAAGCTTTCGTTTTTCATGTAATAGTTCGCCGAAAGCATCCTCAAAATGATGCCAAATACTAGTTTTTATACTGATCGAAGCATTTCGTATATAGCACAAATATAATTCTACTGTATTACTTGGATAACGCGTAGTTATTAAATTACTCCCCCCTCTCCTCCTCCCCCCGCTCCTAATGCATTACATTACAGAGCGAGAGGTCAAGAGATCTCTCGTTATCGCTATTCATTAGGCACTAGAGTACAGTTTCAGCAATTGTATTTGACCGTGACCACGTAAATTCTAACCCCACGTTACAGGTAAACTGCCTAGAAGTAAAGGTATCGTCTAAAAGAGAAGGTGGAACTGCAGAGCATAGACAAACACCCATAACAGCTGATTCTAGTGGAGGTATTAATGGGATAGTCCCGTTTAACTGGTCTTAGTGTTGTAGCCCCCTCCTGTAAATTCCCCACATGATAGCTGTGCTATATCGTCAATTCTTTAAATAAAACAAACTGATCTGTGTATAGCTGTACTATATCCAAACAAGTACTCAAACAACTAAACTAATAGCGGCGCCGTTGCCCGGCTTCTCACCCTTCCCGTCTCCAACACACCAGATAAACCAGTGAAGTCGTATCTAGTTTTTATGATCGGCAGAGATTGTCAGCAGGCTGCTATTACCAGCCAGTTACAACTGCAGCGGCAAGGAGACGACAACATAATCGGGTAAGACTTTTCTGCGCCAACAAAAGGAAGTTAATGTTACCAGCTGCAAAACCACAACAGCAGCACAAAATTAACTTGTAGCAAAACGTGTTAGTTTAATTTGTTTATTTTATTTGACTGATTATATTCACAAACCTGACACGTGACAGGACAACGGTGCTCTTATTGGTGAATTTGTTTGACGAAACGTTGCTGCTATCCCAAATACAGTGGGTACCTACACTGAATGACTTGTATTTGGTGAAAAGAACCAGAAGAGCTGTTTGATGCTGTTTTTCTAAGAAGTACTTGTACATTATTATCTTTATATTTAGAGTAGGTATATAGTCTTGTAATCCATTAGGATTAACCTTTGCCGGAACTGAAAAATTCCACAAACAGGATGTTGGCGTATGACAATGGCGTCCACTAAGTCGCTATGTCTTTACAGCATACAGACTCTATATAGAAGTATATTTCTCTGCCATGATGATGATATGTTATTTGTCTCCGATTTGCTTCGTTTCTGAATATCTGATCTACACTAGCCAATCACCAAAAAACCCCGGTTGTGATAGCTGAAAAGCTTCTACTATGTTTGACGCCCTTCTGCCGCGTTGTGTTGACTACGAATTGCGCCAAGGTATATCAACAAGTAATTTAGGCTTTTTCAAACCGCCTAAGTTTCTGGTCAGAGGTTTCAATTACAAATTTGTTTTGTCGACGACAGATAAAGCAAAACTTGTGTGAATAAAGAAAGTTACTTATTGATTTAGCAAAAGCATAGAGTAGCCGCAGGAATGACGGCTTAGTGGCAGCTAAATTAACTGACAGGAGTGGCCTCGACTAATCTGCTCTGACTAGCAGCGCCAGAATCAAAATATGTCCGCAAGTGCCTAAAGGAATAATATATTTCAAATAGGTTCATTATTGGCTCGATATAATTATTATTACAAGCTGTTTCTACCTATCAAGAAGGCTTCACTTAAATAATGACAGATTTTGTTCGACTGGAAATGCACGCACCGATAACCGCAGTATTGACGAGTAACTAGACTGCTCATTAAAGCGATGATAACTGCTTTTCAATCTAAACTGTAGCACGCTATATTCTGTTTTCAGCGTTGCTGTGCATAATTAATTGCCAATAGTTCTACAGGCCTCGGTCCACTGACACAAAAGCAAGCGTCAACAATATTGGTTTGGTACAAGCATTTAAAAAAATTTTGCTCGATTACGATGTTTGTAGTGAAGCTTCACATACTGTGCTGTGAATGAACTAGTCCTATATTTTGAGGATTTGATAATGACTTTTTTGGTAATGATGTTATATGGGGTTATATCCACTTTCCAGGAGCGCCACTAATCTAAAATGCTACTGTGTATTGGAGCGGCCTGCGCCGTAACGCTTGGCCTTTGGACTTGGATAGGAGACGCAGATTTTTCGACGTTAATTTCGCATGTTTTTTTCCGCAGCCGATGGGAAAAATATCGAGGTACGTATGGTCCATTGGGCCAGAAGCAATTGACGAAGAACAAGAAAAAAGTCGGCATAGCCCAATAAAGACATATTTATTGTTGTAAGATGTAACACTGGAATTCATTTACGAGCCAGAGAAAACATATAAAAAAAAACCTATTCTGGCTAGTGGGTTGCAGAAATAGCTTGCAGATATAACTGGTAATTGAAGAGGAGGGTCCTAATTTTGATATAAACGTATTACATTCAGCTAATTGGTATGTTCCGAATACGATTGCAATTTAGTGTAGCCTGAAATATTTGAAACAAAATAAAACATTCTGGCCTATTAACTCTAGTGACCTCAATCACTGTCCTGCGTTGGGTGAAATTTTAAATTAGATGTCTCAAGTGTTAGGCAAGAATAAGAATCATACAGGCTTAAAACAAATAACATACCTTGTTTTCTTCCAATAATAATGGCTACGTGTGGCGAAACATAGTTAATTAAAACATATAATAAAACATAAAAATGAGCTTTAGCGCCTAAAATTCAATTTTGATTCATTTAGATATTATCTACCCTCTTCACATAGGAATATAATTCGAAACGATAACAAGCAAAGTCAAATTGCCAGTTATCGCCTTTTTCTGTTTCTCACTTCAGTATTCATTGCCTAGATATTGATTATACGTGCGTTACTGACGCGTGCAAATGCTTGCGTTCGCCTTGATTCCACAGCAGTGGATTTCCGAACATCTTTTCCTAAGCGCTTTAGTAACAATGAGTTGACAAAACCGCTCCTAGCACCCTAAAAGTATTCCGAGCATTATCATTTGGCATCTGAGGCGCGCTTGTATCGAGTTGTCTTTGTTTGTTATTATAACTTCCGGGATAACTTCACAGTAAATGATCAACTTGAAAAAATCAAATTATAGTTGTGAAATGAGGTTGATATCGCTGTAATGGCTGGAGCCTAGAAACTGCCCATTCCGTTTAATTTGACGTTTTAATTTCTGCTCAATATTATTTCTTGAAGCCGAGCATTATTGGAAAATTTCTATTCTATTATACTGCAATGACAACGAAGGTTATCACTAGGTGCCTTCATTGTAGGTCCTGTCTTTAGGAACGCTGCAGTAATGTCTATAACGCTTGAGATCTGTTTTGCCGAAAAAGTATGAAATTTTATAGAGTAATAATTTTACCGTTAAAGCACTCAACTCAGTAACACATGTGTGTATATATATATATGGATAACTATAATTTTAAAACCGAGAAGTTTGAGTTGATCGATGATTGTATTCGATTGGGAAAATTTCTTCACCAAAAAGTTATGTCTGCAATAAAGTTATTTTTATGTATATGACTAAAAACTATTTTTCTTACATGACCTGCGCTTTCCGAATGCTCGTAGGACGAGTCATTTGGATAACAGGTGCATCTTCAGGTATAGGCGAACAGCTGGCGTACATTTTCGCTCGTCTTGACTGCAAACTTATCCTCTCGGGGACGCGCCAAGCTGAACTTGAACGAGTGAGAAATCGCTGCGAAACAATTTCGGAGAAATGCGAAGTTCTTATAGTGCAAGGCAATATTGCGGACATAGAACTGCACTCGAAATGGGTCAAGACAGTGCTGGACAAGTTCGGTAAGCTTGTTGCCTAACGTTACTCACTACTAGTTCGTACAGTTATTAGCTTGGGCCTAAGGTTCTCTTTCTTAGGTAACGACACCTCCCGCTCCTGTACATATAATAGATCATATAACGCAGAGTGTACCAATCGATTATATGCCCATTTAAATAAATAATGCGTTTATTCGTTTTGAACCGTCAGGCTCGGCGGTCATTTAAGATGAAAGCGCTGTTAGTTTTACCAAAAAATGTGAGAATAGCCTCTTTCCAAGTTATTATGTATTCGAAATGTCAACGATTAAACACATACTGCAGACTATGACACCGCCCTTATTACTGACCTCGTTAATATTAAATTTCTCTTATTATATATATTTGTGGTTAACGTTATTCTTTTATAAAACATATGGTAATAATTATTACCATGATTATTATGAATACTTATTACCTGAATGCAGACCAAACGAAATGCACGATCTCCTCATGCAGCATGAATGTAATACGTCCTAGGAAGGAAAAAGAGACATACATTAGAGTTTGATTTAAGGATACGCGTACTCTACAGTGCAATTAGTTTTGGCCAACTAGAGTGGGTCACAACTCCGTAGTGATTGCGCATCTGATGCTAACTGATTAGAATCGTAACACAGGGATGATCGATGTTCTCGTCAATAATGCCGGTCGATCGCAGCGTGCCAGGTTCGTCGAAATCTCGATGGAGATCGACAAGGAGCTATTTTCCATCAACGTTTTTGGCATGATCTCATTAACACGCGAGGTCGTCAAATTTTGGTTAGTTCACATAGATTAGTCAGCTTTTTTTGTTCAAACGATTTATACCAGACAGACATAATTTTGTGGTGCGTTTCTTGAACTTCAGAAACAAGTGTAAATGCTTCTCTAATTCGATAATAGATTGTACACGCACACACAGTTAATAGTATGGTGTTGCCGGAGCGGGGTAAAATCTGGATTCAATAGCCTGTTTTACAAGTGAATCGATTTAGTTATTGTTGTCCATACTACCATCTGGCGTAGGCAGATTTCAGGCGATCCACGGACTTCGATGGAATTAGTAAGCTACCTCCAAATATTGAGGTCCTTAGTTCAGCTTTGAGTAAAATACTAGAGCATCACCCGCAGACTTTGTTTCGTGCTAGTTTTGCAAATAAAGCTGGTAGTATAGATAGATTATAATTAGAAATTTTTATTAAAATATCCGTTGGCGTGTTCATAATGTTTCGAAGGTAGTATGGTTTCTGCGGGGTTCGGAAAATTGACATGTATACTACCTATCATTACTTGCCTACCCTAGGATAGAAAAGAAAAAGTGCAACGGCCAAATCTTAGTGACTTCCTCCACTGCCGGCAAAATAGGAGCCCCGTTTTCAGCGACGTACACTGCCAGCAAGCATGCTTTGCACGGATACTTTGAAGCATTGAGGTCAGAGATGCAAGCTATCGAGCAACCCATAAATATTACGATCGCGTGCCCAGGACCTGTTCGATCAAATATTCGTGTCACAGCATACACCGAAAAGGTACGTTTCGAAAGGTTACCATCATTGTATGACCTAATACTTCCTTGTACTGTATATACCGAATTAGGAATAATTGTATAGTAAAAGTTTCAACTAGTACAGACGTAAGCGAATTTCGTCACACTTTGTTTTGTATGGTAATATTTTAATGTTAGTCTACAGCAGGTCGACTTTAATTTGTTTACCTATATTGTTGTCTTCTACTTAGGGGTTTTACGTCGCGCATTTCTTTTTAATAGGACACTTAATACATTAGCCTCTTTCGACCATTTTTTGGGTGCATATATCGTTGTACGTGAACTCGATGTACATCTCATTAGCCTCTCTGTAGCAAAAGTACAGCTGTTGATGAAGGTGTATAAACAGAACATCAATTCAAGAAGATGTTATTCGCAAAAGCCTTCTATTCAGTTAGAGCTTTGCTATGCCATCAAAATTCGTTTCTCTCTGGATTAAGTAACAATTTTAAGCTGCCAAGAAAGTCATGAATTGAACACTGCATGGCACAATGAAATACAACTAACGTAAAGTAATAGTTGCTTTTGAACGCTTTTCAACAAAACGCATTTACATTTGGTCGAAATAGCACCACGACGGTATAACATTAGGCAGAATTCATAGCTAGAAACGGAAGAAAGCACGGTTCGTACTGCACGGTATCGCAGAGGACTGCATGGTACTACAGATAGAAACGCACACTACCTCGGCGAATAACTATTGAGCTTCGGCTTCGAACGTCGTTTAATACATGGAACTTCTTTAAAAAATGTGGCTAACTATGATACAACTAACTGAATTCGCAATTGGTTCACACAGATTGGCGTACAGTACAACATGCCGGATACGGCCGATCAACGTCTAATGGAGACAGCGCGCTGTGCACGCCTCATGGTGTCCGGTCTTGCAAGTGGACTCGACGAGCTGTGGATCTCTAATCAGCCAATTCTTATCTCGTACTATCTTGCTCAGTATATGCCATCAGTATTCCATCACTATTTAGTGCCCTTATTGATGAAGCCGAGTATAATGGAGATGCGAGATGGCAGGTAGCATGTCAGTGAAGGTCTAACGAGGTCTCCATTGTCCGGTGTTGACTTGGGCCGTAACAGCTTTGTTAACCGTAATAGTCAACTATCCTGATGCGTAGCCACGTGGAGGAAAGCTAGTTAGAGCATTGGCAGTGTTGCTCATAGATGCGCCTAAGATAGCGTGTTAGCATCAATTAGAGGAGATTCCGAGCATAATGTACTCATCAGCGAGGTTTTTAAAAGCTTTTTATCTATGTTTAAAATTAACTGACTATGGTTAGAAGCTGTGAAAGAATTTATTTATGCCACTTTCTAAACATATAATGTAATTATATGTTCGGTATACTCGGACCGTAACTTAATTCGAGATGGGATGCAAAAATCCCAGACCACATGATGTCGGGTGTTCAAAGGTAACCTTGTAGGTATTTATTTACTATTTATGGAAGAAGTTATGGTTAAACTCTTGTTGTATTGATTTCGTTTTAGGACAAGCAATGAATAATTGCGTAACTGGCTGATTTTCCTTTTCCTTTTAATGTCAATGACGGAATGACTGGCGAGAGCTGAATCTGCCGTTAACACAAGAGCTCTGAGCAAATGGATTAGCAATTATTGTCTGTTGGTGAAGATTATTTTATATGACCCTTGATGTTAGTCTTCTATTTATCTATCTATAAATATATATTAATGGTACAATAAATGTTGCAGGAGTTTGTCTGGAATATTTAAATTGGTATGAACCTACTAATGACGCGTTCCATTTTTATTACCACTAATTCTGTGTTCCTACTACCAGACATAGGTGTCGCTTATTAGTTGATAAAAAAAAAATGGTACAACACAATTGTTCTATTATTATTATTATTAGGCATGTAGATATCACAGCTCGAATTTTTATCCCAACTACTAGTTTTCATACAGATGCAAATCTACAGTGCTTCACTGCCTTGTGTGTCGTTCTCAGCGTGGTTATTCTGTGCATCGTTTCAATTTTTCATTTAAGCCTGGGATCTTTGACAGGATGAGATTGCTGATCTTAAAACTGCTTAGGTCATCCTTCTTGTGTCTGTATGCATTTATCTATATTCACGAACTTTGTATAAATATATTTTTATGAACATCTACTTTGCTACACGTATTATGTAGTAAACTGATTTGTTCATCGGTTTTTTCTATGCACTGACCAATCGACTAGGGTGGCGTTTCATGAGGTAAGTAGAGATGCGCTGAGCAGCGCACTTCACCTGCATAGATTGGTTGTGCGGCATTCAACATGTACGATGCATTTAAAGGGCAATACAGCGCTTCATTTGAACAGAAATTCCTTCAAGCATTCGCAATAGATGCATCCGATCAAAACATTAGAGGATATGTTTGCCTCAAAAACATGCGTACTGATTGGCTCATTAGTCAGCAGTTGATTATTTAGATGGAAAACTAGTTTCCGTATAGTGGCCATATTCCGTTAAAATTTCCTAGAATATTTTTACACGCGCGCATTGACAATGTACACAATAACTATCGGTTTGTCGAAAATTTCAAAAGAAAGTAATGCTATATATAAAAAATTAACCTGCCACTTACGGTAAATTACGTCGAAATGATTCGAAGATGCTTGAAAGTTTACAGAATTTTGGGGAGGCATATATTTAGGGTGCCAATACGAATTTCATAAATACAAAAAAGTTGCCTAAAAATCCACTGTCGTCGTCATCATCAGTGAATCATAATGAACTGGTAGCTTCCATCATGGCATGCATGATCTGCTGTACAATGAGTACACCAACTCGACAGAGGTGAAAAACTATTCTTTGGGAAAAGAGAAACGCACGTCATGGATTACAGATGTATGATTATTCTTATAAACAATAGGGTATTTCCTGTCGTGAGTATCAGTGTTTTTATGAAGTAATAGGAATCATTAGCTAGTGCCATATAGGGCACCGTACTGAAGTGAATTTGAACGCATATGTGTTGTACACAGTTTGCTGTGAAGGAAATGGTCCGATTTATCAATTTGATGCTCTACTAAATACCAATAAATTCGCTTCAGCTACGTATCTTTAAGCTAACGTAGTCTGCTTGGAAATTTGGTAGGTGCCGTTACGCCTTACGTAAGTTTCAGCCGCAGAAGTTGCAGGATTTTTATGGCGTATTTGATCATGTAAATTCGTCGCACATACTATCGACATACTATTTATCTACACTTACATTAAACGACTTATATTCCTTACGCGTGCTGTCCGAAAATGAATGTGGAGTTTTCCTTGTCGCCAGTTGTCAATTTTCAACTTCCTTAGGTTTGTGCCATTTGGGACATTGTTGCCCAACTCTTATCGTTTTATTTTAGACAACCCAGGATGCGCATGTTACTTATTTCGTTGTTTTCATACAGGCATACGCTTGAATAATACCTTTCAGTTTGCAGCTCCCCATAAGACTTTCATTTACAAACAGGAGGATTTAGTCAAAGCCTATTTACGTCTTCTACACTAAGTCAGTGTGAAATGTACGCCTATGTAACAGAACCGAATGAAAAGTGTGTGTTTGTTTCTGGAAAAAAATACTAGGTATTCTTAGGCATGGCTTAGGGCGGGTGTCCTACATGTTAAAGTGATTTATGATGCTCAATAGGCGAAATTGTGCAAAAAAAAACGAAGGACTGACTTCAGCCTTGAAAAAACACCTTTGAAAATACCTATATATTTCTAAGCATAAAGACCATTAAAGTCCGGCAGAAGCCAACCTTATGTACTCTAATGCAATAATGAGCATACGCATCTCAAGTAAACATGTGCAATTCTTGCGTGCGCACCTAAATTATACGTATCAGTGTAATCTTTTCTCATACATTCACATGTTTACATAGTTTCATTTATACCCTGCGAGTCGTTTATATCGGTGAATGGCGTCATCAGCGTGTTCGTGCCTAGTTTCGCTTTGGTCTCTATTGCCTTGTCGAGTTACTTTTTTTTGCCTTCTTTTCGTATGTCAAGTGCATACTTCACGTGTCCTTTGTTTTTTTGAGGATCATCAGCACCTTAATTATACATCCCTGCTACTACCTTTCAGAGAGGTAGAGTTGTTTGGGATTTATTTCAAAATCTTTTTTTTTTTTTGCTACACAACTTCGTTACCAATATACGAAAGACAATCACACCCACAACCCGTTGGGCAGAACCGCTTCTTCAGAAACCAATCCCGCATATGCTCGCTATGTCCGCCGTGATAGCAGACCAAACAGAAGAAGCTACTTCCACGAACGCCCAACTCGCAGATTGTGCAACGGAAGACCAGTTGCCGGCATTTGACGCATGTAACATCCTCTGTGTCCACGCCACAAGTCGCACATCGTTTTTTGAACTGAACGTCGTACGGTTCTCGGAAACCACGTTGTGTCGTAATGTGATTAAGGACAAGGCAACGCTGTTCCAGTAGGTTCCATTTATATAGAAGTTCAGCGTAGTGCTGTTTTAGCTGATCGTACCTGCGAAAGAACAAATCGAAACAATGTAAGTACTGAAAGTAGGACGATGAGATCTGGGTGGCGAATGTGTTTCGATATCGCCGAAGGTGTCAGCGTACCACTTATATCGTCTGTGGTTAACACTCTTGAAAAGACGAAGACGCTCGAGCATTGAATGCTTTTTACAAACTTCAGATATAGCTTATTGTAGTCCAGTGCATAAGTGGCATACTTATTCAAGAAAACAGCTTTGCGCCTAATAAAAAGCAAAAAAACAGCTAGCAATCGCCTTTATAAGCAACTGTCGTCATTCAAGGAAGTTTGTTCTGTGATCCCATCCAATAAATATCTTGTACCTAGTCATTTGTTGTGGGTTAAGAAGGAAAGTATCCTCTTCTTGGCCGTACGAGACGCCGGTTATTAAAGGCTCAAGGCCAGCGACGGCAACAGCTTCGTCGCCTATTACCGCAGACGCTTCAAGAGCAACTAGATCCTTTGCTGAATCCTTTTTGCCTCCTAGTCTACTACTGAGAAATGCAGCTGGAATACCGGCATGAGCCTGAGGCGAGCTCCCTGTAATACTGTTATATGGAGACCCGCCAGCTGCAATAGCGCACACACAAGTCAGGATACAAAACAACTGAATTAATTATTAGCAATAGTAAATTTAAGATAAATTTAAGTAAATAAGATAGTAAATTTGACTAGCTCATATTGAGAATAACACGAGTCAATAACACACAAACCGTTAATCATCTTCTGCCAGGTCTTCTTGAGGACGTTGCTACTTCTATCGCTATTTTTTCTCTCAGGATGGCTCGTGCCTTCAGCTACGGCTACCTCGCCAGTGTAACCCCTTCGGCTCTTTTGCCTGCGAACAACTTCACCAAAAACGCAGCAAAGCATTGCTACCGTCTGGATATCATAGAGCCTCAAATATCGATCGATAAGGTGTTCGGCCAATTGCCTGCCGAAGACATGCATTGGCCAGGGTAGCTCCGAACCGCACAATGTACCTCGCTGCGTGTACAGAATGAAGATTAGAAAAACGTGAGGTACATAATATTACAATTGATTATACGATAAGTGAACCGAATATGTTTCGCGTGCTTGTAGCAGAATGCCAGCGATGTTTCACGTATGTCTTCTCGAAATTATTTAATATATATATTTAATAATTTACTACTATAATTTTAAGTATAGCTACTATATGCGCATATGATTAGAACACGGCAACCAAGACCTGTGTTATCAATTTTTGATCCTAAAGCAGTGACGACGCACATCGGTAGGCCGTCGCGGTTGTTGGTTTGTCACGCAATAAACCATTTTATCTCTAATTCACTCTCACGAGATCTATCCAACTGTTTGTATTCGTGGCTGTTTACCGACACATTTATCGGCTCGTTACAACGCATATACCTTAGTTTATGCTGCATTAATTAGTCGCATATCTCTTCCATAGCATTCTAGTGATAGGCACCTGCATCATGAAACCAAACTACTTTGTTTTATAATTATTTTTCATTTATTATTATTTATCAAGTCTGGTCACTTTTAGGAGTAATTTCCATCACCTGTTGTTGGAGTTGACTTTCAACAATTTGTGCGGCAAGAGTCCATACTTGAACGAGATCACTGCGACGGCACTCCTTGGCAACCTCAAGATTGTGCCTGCAAGCGTCCAGTGGGTCGGCAACGCTTAACTTATACTTCGAAGCCAGCTGGTAACACACTGGAAGTACGCCTGTCAGTTTCATCAACAAGAAATACAAATGCTCAGACCTAAACCATGCCGCAGGACAGCTTCGTCAAGGGAACAAAAGCCTTGCTTTTATGTGAAGAGCCTTCATCTAAATAACCTAGACTTTCAGCGGTTAAGCAAAACAGAAGTTCGTATAAAAAACGCATGCTCTCATTTGCCCTATTGAAACTAAAACTCTCAGTTCCGCTAAAGCATCAGAGACGCACCAACAAACAGCAATAATAGAGTCTCAAAGGCGTATTCATCCACTGAACCTAGCTCAAAGGACACCCGTGGTTATTGTCAAAATTAGCCACAAATCTGATCCAACCTGACCTAAATCCAAACGTTTCACTTTTTTTTATGTGCAGTACAATCTGAAAACCAGATTATAATACCATATGTTATTGGGTAAAAACATATAACAATGATTTCTTTCAAAGGAACCTTATGAGGCATCACTTGCCTGGCTCGAAATCTGATGCTACTATTGAAACAAATGAATAAGTGGGCGGGGGTTATTCCACTAACCAGGCATGCTGTAGATAAGTACGGCTGCTGATGGTACATGAATTTTATCCAGGGCTGGTGGGGTCAGGCCTTGCAGTCTTCTTCGACCCTTCTTCCGAGGCTCGCGATAATAGTACGATGAAATCGTCACATCTCTTTCGTTCTTAGCTACAAACGATGGATATAATGAACTTGAACCGGTTCGCGGATTCAACGGATTTCTGTGCGCCTTAATGTATGCGCCTAGAGCAGATAAGCTTCTCGGCGTCACCTAAAGCAAATCAGAAATTATTAATATCACAAAGTGTAAGAAAATCGAGTGATATTTGATTGCCGAGGACAATGCGATGATGCACGCCATAAAATATAAAAGCATATTAAAAATAACGATATTATCAGAAACTAAAGAACGCATCAATACGTATCGTAATTAACATGGTTGAAACTCTACCTCTCGAACCATCGTATCTTACTGGCTTAGTAAGCGAAGAACGACCGATAAGCATAACTAATTTAGGGCTTGCAATTTTCCAAGTAGGAAAGTTAAAAAATACATATCTCTCTAACCTCGCTTTCTCTCTGGTTCTTTTGAATGTATGAAGGCCGAGTGAAGCAGACGAGAAAATGCGCCCCGCAAAAACGGGCTCCTGATGTTCGTGGGAAAGGAACTGATGAGTCCTGCTCGCCACCATAGATGTTCACGGGCACCGGAGGTAGCTTTGGGGCATCGGTCTCGACGTCGCCCTTGTTGGTCGTCTCCAACGCTTTGATTGACTCGAGCGTTTTAATAAGTTGCTTGAGACAGGGCTCTAGACAGGGCTGGTTTCGGCTCACGTGTTGAGTCGATGTAATTCGCAGCACCTTCTGCAGTTTGGCTTTGATTGAGCTCTGCAAAGCTGAACCCTTTGAGAACGAGAAGGTCGGTGGTACATTTTTCGGATAATCCTTCGGAAATGTCAGTGTAATTTCTATCTCGTAAAGGCAGACCGTGATGAGGATAAGACACATCCTTTTCATGGCATCCAATTTTACTAACTCGGTGTTCGGAGGTTTGTCATTCAGCAAATTGTTGAACTCCTCTTCGAGAGACTGATTATCTCGGTTATCGTCGTGCAACGAAATGTTATCGAGATGATCTGACGACGAATTGCTTATCATCGGGTAGAGAACGGACGTTTGCAAGAAACCATTTTTCATCAGTGCAACTAGGCGACACTCTTTCACCTTGCTTAGATTCGACGTGGCCACCTTGATAAATGGACTTCCCGTATTCCAGGTATGGACATGTTTTCCGGATCGCACACTCCACACCGCTAATCCCTGCAGATCTTCGCTAGGGTTCGAGCTTCGTTCATAGCACATGAGCAACGAATCACCGAGTGGACTGAAGCGCACCATCCAGGCGGGATTCTCAACAAGAATATGCTTGTCAATGATCGCCCCAGAACCAGCAGAGTTGTTGCAGTCCCATAACTTAACGGTACTGTCCTGACTGGACGACACAAGCCAGTGCTCCATAGCTGGTGACCAATCAATACTGTACACACGCGATAAATGCCCTCCCACAAGCATGATCGGATTTCGGGGCTGTCGTATATCCCACAGGTAAATACCATTATCGTGGGTCGATGCGATGACGTTGGCGTTCAACTTGTTAAATCTCGCCCGACTCGACGGCACCAGTGAGTTGAAGGCGATCTCGGGCCGTTGCATTGTTCGACAGTCCCAAATATATGTGTATTCTTCCTGACCAGCGGACGCAAACATGGGTGTCCCACGACACCAGTCGACATCGGTAATTGCCCGTTTGTGTGCGGCTCGCTTAATGTGTTCAACGGTCAATGAATCGTTCGTGCTACGCACGAAATAAAGAGCACTGCCAGATGCCAAAATCACAAGACCCTTCTCGGTGTGATTCCATTCAGCGTTTACAGACGCGGGGTTTATGCGATTCATGTTAGGCGCGTACTGACCCTTCGTTATTGTTCTGCCCTGATCAAGGTCGAGTAAACTCATAAACGAGTGATCCGCTAAGAAAACCGTGTACGAGTTGGGGTCCATGGCCATCGCCAACGGGGCGTAGGACACCTGTGGACGATGGGAAAAGGGAAAGACTAAATTAATTCTTACTCAAGGCAAGTTGTTATATATATATATATATATATATATATATATATAAGAGGATTAAACAAGCCTGTGACTGAACACAATGAAGTTCTTATTGTTATATTTTGATTTCTGAACGTCTGATTAGTGAAGCAACATCGATACTGTTTTAACTGACTACCTGATGTTAACTATTAGCCCTACTTAACAAGGGCGGGAGTCGCTGTACGAATGAAAACGAAAATAAAAACCACCTTAATTTTCGTTTATATTTAGAAAAAAAGACTACGATCGATTATGAAAGACGGAAGGTAACACACTAGGCCATCTGCCAAAGCAGACGACCAAAGAAGTGTTTACTAGAGCACCATCAAAAGTAAAATGTTCCTTCTCTCACAACAAGAATTAAAAGCTAATTACCCAAAGTAGACTATCTATTAAATACCTAATCTCGAAAAATTGCAAAACTCAGATGGCCAGACTAGGATATCCTTTTCTGTTAAGCTGCTATGTACCGGCAAATTTATATTAGCAATATTTTTTAGGTACTCTTAGACCAGTGTGATTATGTTTCACACCACCCGTAAGTAAGCAACGCACATTATTAGTTGTGCAGGTTTGGAACATCGTTGCTTCCATATAAAAAATTAAATGGGTTATCCGAATAGAACGCCTGCCTGCGACCTACTTGTTACGTATATATACTTATATACGTAACAAATTATTGCGCACGATATAAATCATCGGCTTTATACATATGTCCATTCAAGATTGACTACTAGCATCGGTGGAACAGCATCTAAGTACCCATTCAGCGAATAATCATGTGATGTCTACCGAAGGCCTTTGATGCATCACTTGAACGAGAAATACTTTAGGACACAACCTGCAATTTATCTTTCCATTTTCCAGATTCTGCGTCAGCCTCGTCCACATAAATCCAGCGTTCGATTTCTTAATCTTCCACGGTTCGAGCGTCTGTACATTGCGTTGGGATATGAGACGCATATTGTTCGTAGAGACAGTTTAAGCGAAGTAACCATATAATTCGTAATTGCAGCACAATAATTTAGTACCTTACGTCGGCCAACGTAATTCCTCAGAATCCTAAAGCGGTTTTGAGCCATTATACAGATTAATTAGTTACTGTTTTTTCTTTCTGTTCGAAAAAACAGTGATACAAAGTATGCGCAGCTGGTTCGTTTCGAGATGCGTATATATATTTGAGAAAACAACTATTACAGGTATTGCATTCAAACATCAGTTATGTACAATTTGCGTTTACACGTGTACGTGAATCAGACCTTGTTTGTCATCTAATTATAGATCTAGCTCTTTAAACGTTAACCTGTAGTGATGTTTATATCTAATCAATAAACACCATGTACAATGAATTCGAATACGATATAAGTCAATTTTTTGCGCCACGGTGCTGTAGTTAAAGCACAAGCCGTCATTTGCTGGTGTGCACTAATTAAACGAATAATTGTTCTTTGCCGTTTGGGTTTGTTATATGTGCTAAGCTTGTCTGTCCTATTTCGGTTATTAAAAACGACATCTGAAAGGCCACCCATTCAGGTGCTATTGTTTCCGGGGCACTCGAAATAAGCAAAGGCGTTATCGTTAACGGTTGCTTCCGTTATGTATAGGTAAGACGCATATAATGCAAGCGTCAGCTAGATATTCACCTGAAGCAAGGCTGGCGTCCGGGACCATTTGTCCTCAATGGTTGAGCCCTTTCGGGAGCTCGTGGTCGAGAACAGCGGACTTGAGGCGTTTCGCTGCATCGACGCTGGGCGTTCGCCATAATAGAGCAATTTGCGTAACATCTGCAGAAATAACAAGAAATCACATACAAACCACATGGAGATGACGGGTTAGAGGCTACATCCGCAAAACGACAGGTATAGAGATTTGAAGCGCTAGGATTGCAAACAAGATATTTTCCTTTCATGCAACGTTTTGCAGACGGTTGCGTAAAAATGTTGCTATTAGCTATACGTCATGTATTTATTAAAATGCGTTATTGCGTTTACTTATTAGAATAAGTCGAACAAAATATGGCCTTAAACTTAATTGGCCTTCATATAGAGACTAGCTATATTCTAAAGAAAAAAAATACGACACTATAAAAAATTCGATCGTCGATAACAAAGATCCCCGTAACAGTCTTTAGTTAACTCCCAACAAGATGTCGTTCATAGAATTATTAAAAATTCGGTTTCCATTTAGCTGAGTTCACTCATACCAATACAACGCGACTAAAGACAAATATAGGTACGCCATAATATTATAGGCAAAATAATTGATCATTACGCCTAATTCCCTACCGTCCCGATGAAAGGTTGAACGTACCACCCTTTGTATCAAAGGACGAAAACACAGAGTATACAGTGTGTATATTAATACTAACAACAATAGAAAATTTCCACTGAACCCATCCAGTTTTACTAACCCAAGAAAATTTTAAGAATGGTCGGTCTAAGGCTTTTTGACCGACAGCAGTCGAATGAATATCAAGCGAGAGGACGAGACCGTATTACTATTATATTCGATATTCTATAATCTTTCTGCGAATCGGCAGCGTACACATAGTCGAAGTGTTTTCTAAGGAGTCACCAAACGAGGCAAGATCAACAAGTCCCTCTTTTTTAGCGCAAGAAATATCAACATAGAGAAATCAAGACTACTACAGCGGCTGGCTAAAGGTCGCCTCACTGCGCACTACCATTTGACCGACTGACTCCTCATCCTCGGTTTCAATCCTCTCATCCTTTTCGCTTATCATGGGCCCAGCATTTATCAGTTGAAACAGCAGAAGCAGTATATGTAACTATTGTAATCATAAGGCAACGTAATTTCTGTTTTGACATTGCTCTCGCAAGCATTGTCCTCGTTGTGATTTCCTCTAAAAGAACTGACTGAAACCAGGTCCAGAGGCGTCGACGGACCCTGCGGCTGCGCGTCAAGTGAAAACTGTAATCAGTGACAGCTGTTATTGCTATTACCTTACGCGCGCGAACGGCTGGTCGCGGCTGACTGCGACGACCGCTTACACCCTTGTTGTTTTTGTTCGTAGCGCTCCGGTTACTGCTATTATTGCTTTTTTTGGACACCAAGCTTAGCCTAGAAGCGATCCAATGCTTCAATATATGCTGTTGTGCTCAATGGCACGAATTGCCTACTCCCATTGTTGGCGTCCTATCGTTCTTTCGCTGCCGCTGCGATGGTCAATGATTGACGCGCAAGTCTTTGCTTTACTCTGTCTGTACGCAATACTGTTCACGTGTCAGTCTGAATTTATACGCGTATATGCAACAGAGCAGTGCTCCTTGTTTCGAATGTCTTTCTGCGCTCGCCGTTGTCACTGGCCGCTTCCTCGCTATTGTAGCAGCGGCAGAAGTCATACTTATTCGCTGCTGCTTTCAAGCATATACATATATATAGTCAGTTTTTCCAGTGAGTGGAAGTGGTGCAGGTGCGAGAACTGACTGTACATGGATAAACGTGATACCATCATCAGTGAAAATTAAATGCTTAAAAAACGAACACAAACAGGAGATCAGGAATATATAGAGCAATAAAAAGCTCCAATATATAGTCGATGAAAAAGTTCAGTAAACAACCCGCAAATACTAACTGATAGATAAATTCATCCAGAGACAAAAGATTGAATGTAATATGAAAAAGTTTGATTAGGTCCAATGAAAACAAAGATGCAGAGTAATTGCCCTGTCGCTACTTAGAAATACAGAAAATTTTATCACTTCTGCCTATATATTATACATGAACTTTAACAATCCCGGTAGGCAAGCAACATGTGTATTCTTGGAGATGGGATGGTGAATAAGGTTGTAATGGCCATCTTCAACGAGTCTGGCCCACATAGTGACTGCAGTAACGGTCGACTCCTACTGATTCGCAGATCGCGCTTCCTTTTTGCTAATATAGTCAACAAAGTAGCTTTCTGCTTGAGTTTTTTTCATCTGCAGTTCTACTGTACCTGCATGTTGATTTTCCTTGGGTTCGTTTTGCAATAATTGCCATCTGTATTATCTACTTGGTTACTGAAGACTTTACAGATAGTTTGAAACATAACCGCTCTTAGAGCAGACTAAGCTGTGAGCGAAAATCGAACGCTCAGATTCCAGTTTCAATCGCATCTTGAACACAGTACACGCGCGATATACGTGAGCGTTCTCTCTCGTTCGTTTCCTCTCGGTGCATCCGCTACTTCTTCTAAGCGTCGAAGTTAATGGACTTAATGCTAACTAAGAAAATCGACTGTATTCTCGTTTTTATGCTTATAACAGCAGTATTTTTCGAACATCTGTCTTAATTTAGCGCAATCAGGATCTACACATCATCGGACTACTGCCAGATCCTCACCACCAGATACAGCTATGAGCGTCACAGCGCCACATTCCATTCGACGATCAAGTCTTCACTGTAACACATCATTTTGATCGGGTTATCCTGACAAGACCCTTTCTTCTATATATCTCGTTGTGTCAGCACACGTGCCACAATTCACACCACATCGATATTATATATGCGGATTTAAGTCACGCAATTAAGTTCTTATCATTCATGGTGTAGTTGCAATTGTCGTCATCGCGAACTTCCGTTTATTGTTCCTCCTAGTTTTTCTGCTGTATCTTTAATTAGTAACTTCGTTCTAGTCATACTCCATTCTTCAGTCCGAGCGCAAACTCTGTTAACAGGCCAAAGAGGCAATTAGTTTGCGCTGCTGCAGGTCCATTTATCCGCACGCGACTTGACCACGACACAGAATTCACAATTCACGAACCGCAGTACCGGAAGCGCTACTGTTATGCCGATGACCACCCCCATCACCATAGCCGTTGCAGGCTTCCAACCATGGACGAAGCGTTTCTTGAATCGGTTCTCCTTGAGCTGCTTGCCCCATCTTTTACTCCACCGCTTTCGATAGTCGTTCGAGCCAAGGCAGCACCAAAGAGAATATTTATTTGCCCGTTCGTTCGCGCACTTTTCCCTACCTAGTCGTCCTGCACTTTGACAAGAAACGCTTCTAGCACAACTACTGCGATAGCTGTCATCGCTGCTGCAATTAGCGAAGCAACCGTCTTGACTAACTCCGCGACTCCATGGCATAGGTTAACTTTTTGGCTATGTAATGTAGCAAAGGTTTAGGCGCAGATATTGCTTGCCGCACTATCAGCAGCGTCTTTGCATGGTGCCCATGGCTCAATATGGTCACTCTCGGTTGAAGCCGGCAGCAGCAACAATGAAATCGCCGCCAGAGGTCCAGCTTTTCCGACGCGACACGTTGATGGACGCTCTGCATCTGTCTTTGGCGTTGCGCAGCGCCGTATAACGACGACAGTTTTTGTAGCAGGAGGAGCTGTCGTAGTCACAAAAGCGTTAGGCAAAGGGATCGGGATGGACAGCGGCAACTTCCATTGTTTACCTACCGCAACGAGCGCATTCCGTCATTTAGTTGCTGCGTCACTTAGTCAGTCGCTGCCGCTCATGGCGCCTCGTAATTCGTCATTGGTGGTCCGGCGCGGGTCGCCTAACGCCTGTAGTGAAAGTCCCTCGACGCACCCATGCCTGTGTAAGCGCCTAAGGCAGAATGGACGTTGGTTGAATCATTGACGGTTCTTTGGGTAGCTATGCTGACGATTATAGCGACGCCAGCGTCACATGCGTCACTGGCCGCTCATTACTTGCCATTGCGCACGGAAAAAATTTCTCCTGAGGAAGTGCTACGCGCTCACCCCATATGCTATATATATGGTCGATCATGTATATACATGTATATATGGTCATCAGTAAAGAACGAGGAACAAGAAAGAAAACGGAAGTAGGTCAGTGGCCAATGCCGTCAATGTTGCGGAACCACGACCGTCACTGCGGAAATAGAGAGCAGCAGAAACGCCAGCGCTATTGAGTAGAGTTATTCGTCGTTATTCGGCCGTTGCTATCATTTTTATTGGTGTTGCTGGTCATGCAGTTGCCGATCGTTGCATTGTTGGTAAAAAAGCAGATGATGCCGTTAATGGCGCTGCTGTTGGAGTTCGAATTCAGATAGAAAAACTGCTGTGCATATAACGGAAGCGCGAAATGGCGGGCGACAGCCACGGATGGGCCAATAGTGTTTGATTTATGCGCCACAGATACTTCTTTTAACGACCTTAGAACCCAAAAGCAGTGAATCGGATTTTCGGCTATGAATAAGCCGACCGTAGTGGGAATAGTAGACCCTATGATGATGACGCAGTGGTAACGTGTATACCTACTGAACTTGAAAACGCCAGATGAAGGCGGTTTAAGTTCGAAACTGGGCGCACCCACAATTTGTTTTGTGCTAGTAGAAACTGTCTAGGACAATGGCTAGCGGCAGTAACGTAGGACGTAAGCATACATGAAAGTCCTGTTCAGGTCTTCCACTGTCGGTTGGTGTCTGCTCGGATGTTTCAAGCGTGACTTTTGAAAATTGCTGATCAGTTGTCATCGCTCTTTTCTGAAAACAAATTCTATGACTGAGATTGGTTCAGGCACTTCGACTTGCCAAACAGATTGCACATTTAATTACTGCATTGGTTGATTCGAAGCGATGTGTAATTGTTTATTTGGATTATTTCTACAGTTTATTACAATGCTGACTAGAAACAAAAATGCGTCAAGGCAGGACACAGATGCTTACGCGCCTTGCGCGCCTGACTTTAAAAAGAATTCGGGGGTACAGAGTGAAGAGTGGCAATTAATTAGATGAACATTTGAAACTAAAGCGCGTTCTCAATATAGTGCCAGTTAGCACAATGAAATCAATTAAATAAGATATTCAAGGTATTTAGAAGATTGTGATTCACCCAGTTAAACATTGACTTATATTAAAAATGTATGTTCGTAGGCAGTATTCGTCTAACCCTAACGGGAAGTTTATGGACAAGCTGGAATTTCCGTTTTTATTGCAAGAAAGTCACGATTCTGTTAACGTACCCACACATAGCACGTCTATAAGCAATTCTCAAGAATCATTTCAGTTCCGTAATGTGTGTGATTTTATATAAACACATATACTAGTTATGGCTAAGTGGTTAAAGTGGATCGTAGCGCCCGGTAGCCTGGAACAGCCTCGAGAAGTAAGTAGTTGTCCTGAGTCTAGGGACTACGCATAGCACCTAAATACTCGAAGGCATTTAGGAACTGGCTTCCGAACCAGATCGGATACTCACTTATAAAAAAAAATTGCGGGACGGCTTGTTTAAGAGCATATATGTATATACTGTAATATGTTTAGATATTTATATGAATGTACGTACACTATCCACTTTAAGTACAGACACTCAGTTTGGCAAAAATTATAGGTCAGCCTAGAAACACATTAACAAACTATATACATGTGCAGAGTCTCTAATACCAGAAGCAAGCTTCTCTGCTCCTCTCAACCTACTATGTGCGCTTGATCAAGATTCTTGCTCTAGGTTTTTGTCCCTAACCCCCCAAGTAGGTAAAAATTTTACGGTTAATCACTAGCTAACAACTATGCAGAATGCCCTATTAAATTCCAATGCCCCTTGGTGTCGTGTGGGTGGAAGATTTGACTATCGTAGGCAAGGGAAATGCCTGGAATTATTTTCGTTCTTTGATAAAGGTTCGAAAGTAAATGAGGAATAACTTATTTTCTCATATATGTATGCATATATGTAAATATGCAACACGATTTATAAATAAAGCAGCTCCTTATTATATAGTAATATTTGGAACCACCGATCATTCCTGGACACTATTTGCGACCTACGTATCCTAATTATAAGAACCTTAAGAGATTCGCCAACAAGTAATCGAGATTCGAATTCGCCTCTTGGACACAAACTGTTCTGCTCTCAGAAAATCTGTTTGCGGCGAGTCGTCTTCTCAAGGAGTTCGTTTATAAACTAGATTTTGTACGTAATGCCCCTGTACGTAAACAGTAAATTTAAACTAATGATGATGATCTAGCCGATGATGGAGCCAGAGTGTAAAAAGAATCGATTTAAGGAAATCTACAGGGTAAAAGCAAACGTCATATCTATGTTGATTTCGCAATCCGGGATACTCAGCATACTGCAGTATCTATTCAGTAGAACAACGAATTTACAAAACAGCTATCGCCGTCGAGCAGAAAACATTAAAGGAAAGCTATGAAAAAATCGAGCTGATTCGTTCGCATGTTACTACAGTGGTAATGAATTAGCTTACGAGCCTTAATCTGACCTGAGGGTGAGGTGGTCTACGAGAAAATTGCGGGGTCATCTAGAGCAATGCTTAATGGCAGTATTGTTGGACGTAAAACCAGCTTTTTTCACTGTCTATTCCTTCGACTTGCACGATTTGCATTTGCTCAGTGTAAGAAGCATTGTTGCACACGTATAGTTCTATACCTTTGTGTGTGTGTGTATCATAAAATCACTATCAGCATATTTGAGGATAACCAACCGCTAATGCTGAACCAATCCCGAGGCTATTAAATTTGTATAGGAACTTCATTCATACAGTTGCCACTCATTAGCTGCTATGCTAATACTGGTTAGTACAAATTGCCAATATTATGCAAATTTGGTCGACGAGCGGCCGTATGTTCAGCCGGGAAACGTCATACCGTTCGTTAATAAGCTTCTGTTTAAACAATAAACTATACGCCGTTACCCTACTAGGAAAACGCGCATAATGCTAAATTGACACTATATGAATAATTAAGAAAAAATACGTCTATATTTTTAAAGTAAAATACCGAAGTATGGTTTCGTTTTTAATGATGGGTTTATTTTTGTACTGACCCTTAACCCTAGCTCAACTAGCCACTTCCAATGATCTTGTATTCGTTAATATACGATGCATTCTGTATAATCGAAGTGTTTATGTTGTAAACGAATGTTCTCTATACACAAAAAAACTGAGCCTTGAATGACACAACTTAGAAAATCTGCTGCGATTTCGAACAAAAAGAGGACACAGGTGAGCCACGAAGGCAAACTCATTATGATGCTAATGTGAACAAATAAACCTGACGCAGCTGCGTAAATGCGGTATATTTCAATGCTTTCGCCAGGTTAGCAGCAACCGCGGGACGATGTTCGCATTTTTGTTAATATAAATACATACACCATGTGTTTATTTATGCTAATTTTCATGAAACAAATATGTGTTGAACTATTAGTCACGCGACAAAGGCCCTTTTTGTGATACAAGTAGCTTTATGCTGCGGTATTATTTCGAATATAACTTAGTTTGACCATGCCTAACCGCGGCCTTTAAGAACAACCTGTTTCGGGTTTCGGTAAAATTAGTGCATTGTAAAGGAGGCACGTTACCAAAACCTAAAAGCAATCGGATTATGAATGTGTAGTTGACTCGGGATTCGTCTAAATAGAAAAATGAGTTGATATATTATATAAAACTAATCAAATACTTTTAGTAGAGTTTTTCGTAGAGAAGAGTTGATAGACTAGCTTCACCGAAAATGCCACCAAACGTGAGCGAATACGCCACTCTCGCCACAATATCGATACGTCTGTGTGCCTAGGAAAGCTCACGGGCGCAGCCATACGCAATGCGTATACTCATGAAAAACGAAAAACGTCAATAACAACACTAACAATATTAATCACTATTTCGAGAGCTGTATGTCGCTTCGAAAACTACGTCTCTTGCAAGTAGCGCATTGACTTGTCGGTTAAAGCTTCTTTACAATTACATCCACAAACATTTGTATATATATACCCACAAATAAACCCACAGACAAAGCCAACCTCTCAGAAAGCCACTGCAAACCACGATTCGATACACGTCTGTCACCTTGATTGAATGTCCGGGTAGTACTGTTTGCAATTACTCCGCTTCCTTTATTAGTGGCACCAATCAACAATCTTGTCCTAGGCTAGAGTCATAACCGAGGCATATTTACACAGAGATTCATAAAATGAACCTTTGCTTGCCACCATTAAGGTAACACTGTCACCAAACCACCCAACAGGTATATCTTCATAGGTTTATCACGCATATACATTGGGCGCATCTGCTACGGCTATTGCCATATCAGCTGTGGAACTCCACTTGAAACAATGCATTAGGCTTGGATATTTGACTTCATAACGTCTCGTTGATCTTATTTGTGATTAGTTGCAGAACCTGGGTCCAAAACCAAGGCCGTTTCTTGTTGTCTTTACTTCACAAGCCAAATTTTTCACGAATACAAATTTCATGTTGTATAAACCTATACAGTCGTTAAATCATACTGTCTATGTTCCGATCGTGTTTAGGCGAGTAGTTTTGAGTATGGCATATAGAGCCAAGATCTGTTCCTGTGGCCAGCAGCGCGTGTGCCATTGTTTTGGTCTGTCGAAGCGTGCGCGCGGCGCTCGTAAATAAGTGCATCCTCAAATTCAAAGTGGTAAACGTGACGTTAACTTTATTACCATTATAGATTAGTACGCGTGTTTTTGTGTTGAGATTCTTCGCAGGTACTAAAAGAAGCTAGCGCAGAGGTATGGACCGTTCGTTAAACAGTTATCTGTGGACTTTATAGAAAAAAACTATATCCAGACAATTGAATTATATGCAATACTTTTCAACGTTTATGCGGCAATGATAATTCGGATGTTGACTGTAATAACCGTTGTTCGTTAACTATCCTGAGGTAGAGACATATTACCTATTGAATTGAATTGAATTGAAAATTAACAAACTGCTTGAATACATGCCAAGTGCAGCGGGAAGAAAAACTGGTCACGTGTCTTTAGATATCATTTATATACATGAAAACTAGCGTTTTTGTTCTAGATGCCAATTTAAGTTGATCATTAAAGTTAATCCTTTTGTACGACGTAATGCATGAAAACGTAATTGCACATTAACGTCAATCTCAACAACAACAACAACAAAAACAAAAAGACGTAGTAGCCAGGTTAGTGGTTTGCATGTATTAAAAGTTAAATTATCTTGCCTACGGCAATATTTAATTGTTGTATCGTTTTTTCATTGATAACAGCATTTTTTGATAATTTTGCATATTAATAAATAATATTTTTTAGCAGCATGACTATTATTATTATTATTATTATTGTTTCTATACCGTAGTTACACACCCTTCGACTGAGATGAACCCCAAATTTACTTTACGCATCGGTGCTTTTTTACAGGTAAAGAAACACTTCAAGCAAATTCTAACAAAAATTCAATATGGGTAAATCAAAGCAGCAACGCAAAAAGGAAAAAAAGATCGTGCTGATGTTCGACGAAAACGAGCGTCGAGAATTTCTGTCCGGATTTTCGAAGCGAAAAAAAGAGCGTCAGCGCAAGGCCAAGGAGAAAACTCTTGGGCGTCTCGAGGGTCAACGGAAAAAGCTTCTCGAGGAAAAACGCACCATAATAGCGGATATCGTCCGTGAGGGCGGCATTAAACTGCAGGATCCTCAAAATCTTGAGACCTTGGCAGGCCAGGTAGGTGTTACAAACAACAGGTTGTCTAAGCTTACAGGATAATGCAGCCCTTATTGTTTTCAAGCATCGAAACTCATACATATATATATATATATATATATATATATATACCACTTACGATATTGCCATCAATCATACAAAGATACTTAATTTTACTCATGGACATTAGAGCTCCTCGAAAAATTTCTTAAGATAATTCAATGATATATGTCCTTTCGGCAAATTCCGTCTACTTATACAATATCTAGAGCGAAACAATCGACTGTGGTGAACATACTGTGACAATTACTGAGCTTGATGATGCCTATAGTGCAGTACAGGACCTTGGTGTCGACGCGGAATGCGATAATAGCAATGAAGACGACATGGATTTTGGGGATAGTGCAGGAATTACGAATGAAACCCAGACAATAGCAGGCGGAAGTGTCAGCGATCAACGGAAGGTACTGGAACCATTATGTAGTTTATTTTAATAACTATTTACTCTATGAAGAAATGAACGCAAAATAAAGTAAAAAATATACGCAAAATACCAAAATATTCTAACATAACCTGTGCTTATCTAGTATTAAGTGAAGAGCCAGTTTCTAAGAGAGTAAGTAGTTAAAATTGTGACTAAAATGCGCTAGCGCGGATATCGGCACTGAGAGGACACAGCTTTTATCCAAAATTCAAGAGATCATCAACACTAAGCAACGCCTATCACTTCTGGTTAATTTGATCTTTTGTTACATTTTTTCAATGCTAACATTTTTGATCTGAGCATTAAAGTAAAATATGTTCTTTCATTTTATAAACGTTGTTGATCGACAAATTGACTATACAGAACATTGACTAAACTCTACGTTCAGTTGTGAGAACAATAGGTCCTTTGAAAGTCGGCCATTTTAGCCGAGCACAGAAAGAATAGGCGTAAAGTCTCCATCGATTTGTTTCATCGGCAACCTTAATCAACAAAGTAAATTCAACGGTAGTCAAATAGAATCCGGTCAAGCTAATGGACCCTTCCTTCATGTATTTCGTTGAGTTTTTCTTACATTAATGCATTTGTTTGTCTGGACGTTTCGCCTTCATTTGTATGTTCATCGTATTTGATTACGTATTCCGTAACATTACAAATAGCGCAATGACGAGCCAAGTCAATGTCGGATACAACAAGCAACGGTTGGAAGTTCAGCTTTCTAGCGGCAAGTTTCTAGTTTCAGCGGCAACAATAGCAGACGATTTCCTCCAATCATAATATCTACGTTCATTCATTTATTACATCGTTCTTAATAGGTTATGCATTCAACTGTCATTTTGCAGATTCGCCTCAAACAAATTTCTGAAGAACTGAAGGATTTCAGCGTGCAGATACAGCCGATCAAGGCTGCACTTAATAAGAGAGCAAAGAAACGCAACAAACGTAAACAGAAGGCTCAGGAGTTGAAAGAACAGGAAGCACGTCAGAGTAAAAGTAGACGAAGAAAAGCTGGGGCCAGTCAGGTAAAAAACAGTAAAAGCTCCATGGTAGGAATTAAAAGAAAGAAAATCAATAAACACATTATCAAGGATTAACGCCAACAGGATGCGCTACAATAAATATGTATATAGTATGGGATTGAAAATGTTTATCTAGGTAAGCTATTTGATATATTACGTTTTGATAATATTAATAATTATTATCATTGTTCAGAAACGGTGGTGATTATGTATTCTGGGAAGTATAGTCGCACTCGGAGGCGAAAATATTGTTTAGTAAGTTATGAAGAAACAGGGTATTGTGGCTAGAAGATATAGTCCTGTTTCATATTTTTACACGCTGTTAATAGGCGTCTCATGTTGATAAAATCAATGTGTGCAAAAATTCTACATGTTCAAAGGCATCGTAGAAACTCGATATTAATATTATTATTATTGAAGTAATTCGTGTCACTATAGCAGGAGGAACGGTGAGCAATAACTAGCAGTTCCGTACGTTTCTGATTGTCTCCTTAATAAATTTAATAGCTCAGAAAGCATGATTTTGTCGGTCACTTCAACATTGCAGGAATCCAGTGATTTAAATTTGTCACTTACTGAGAAATTCAATTTAATCTAATTGAACCTTTAGAAAAGTAACTTACGTCATAAGCTCAGTTCGTTATCAGTTGAAGTTCTGGCCTCGTCGAGGAGAGTCTTACTGAATATGCTGTCCTCAATCGGACTGTAAGTCTTTCACAAATTAAGTCATAGCTGATTTAACCACCTTTACTGGTAGTAGTCAAACCCTTCATATATGTACGTCATTTTTAGCGTCGTGGGTTCTTCTGAAAAAGCAACGGGAAGGATTATTCAGCTTTTGGATATGTACAAGATATGTAATGTAGTTTCATTTTGGTAATAAAGGGCAAATAAGACTTTGCAACAAAGAAACTTTAAGAATGTTCGACGCGTCGAATAAGGTAGCTTTCTCACTCAGCTTAAAAATGGTATGTTATACATAAATATTGCAATAGGAAATATTAGACTGTCTACTGGTACTGACGTAGATTAAAATTTCCTCTTAAAATGTTTCATCTGGTGATAGAATGGAAATTTTTTTTGGAAAAAGAAAATGCCAGTTGAATCTTTAACTTCTTTTATTTTTTATAGAATTTGTATCTATTCTCTGATAATAGGCCAGACTAGCGATCCCTGACTTGCACAACCCATAAATTAGCTATCAAACTACGGCTGTAGCCAGCTCATGAAATCTCTGTTATGGGAAAAATTATGAATCAGATAGTTCGCTGCATTTAAGGGAAATCATTACTAAGTTTTGTAGAGATCACTCCGCCCGGTGTGGTTAAATCAAGTAAGCAACTTAACACGCAAAACTCAAATGGCCATTCATTTTAAGTAAAGCCATTGTTGTAGAAATGCGACTGTTGAGTTGAAGATGTGAGTTTTGCATACATCTGTGAGCAGTTTGAGTGCATACTTATAATTTTAAAGATTAAGCAAGTAACCAAAGTTAAAACTAGAATATTTCGAAAGCCAAATGGAAAACTTCTCAGTAGCTTTTAGGACAGAAATTAATTAATTCGTTCAAAACTAGTTTTTTCAAGTTTCTTTCACGTAGAGGGATCTACATATGGAATCAAGGAGAGAATGTACTGGTAGGAGATTGTTACTGTTACAGATTGTTAATCCAAATGAAATCATGAGTTTTGTGGTTTTTAATTTGACAATTCTAACTTAATAGTTTGTATTTTAACTATTAACCCTATGGTCTTGTAGATTTTAACGAAGAGAAAAAATAAATGAAATAGAGGTTTCCAGAATGTTTAGTTAGATTTTCAAAAGAGTTAGTTTATTTTTAAAAACTTCCTTTATTTAAAAAGAAAAAATAAATTTACAGTAACGGAATTGCTGCTAGACAGCGAGAAATCCTTACAGAATATTTCGTAACGAAATAGATGAATGCGATCCATGCTGACATAGGCAATATGAATATATAAATTGCATAACAGAATGACTTTTTTTAATGTAAAATCCATATTAATTTTTTTAATTAAAGAAGGATTTTTAATGTATGCTTATAAAATGCTATAAAATTTTGGTCGTATCTATAATCTAGTCGTCACTATTGACAAAACAAAAAATAAAAGCTCAAAATTTCGCGGGGTTGGACTCTTCCCTTTATCTTTTTCCTTTACTTTCAACAGTGCTCCTTTCCTGCTAAGTTCACTTGTCAGACTCCTTCGGAGCAAAGCACAGCACCGCTCGACGCAGAGCACAGGAGCGTTCGCCACTCGGTGAGTAAACGGAAGCCTCGCGCGGGAAGAGAATCGGTCTGTCGTTTTTCCACGCGGCTGCATCCACTCGCCACTTCGCCACTGCTCGTGTGATAGAAGGTAAAGGTAGACAGAGAGAGAGAGAAAGTGGGCGCTACCAGCTTGACATCCCGCTGTACCCCGGCTACCTGTCAACTTTTCGGTACCGAACCGAAGAAGAACCAACGACGAAACCGTGTGGCTATATCGTGGCGTGTATTTTCTTTCTCTTCGCCGGCTCTATTGCCAGCTGTAACTAAAGGGTCTTCTGCTCCGCTTTCTTTCCATGCTGAACACCTGCGCCCCTACTATATTTGTGTCTCTGCTTTGTATCTGTTCGGCGCTGGCTCTACTACTGGTGCTGCTGCTGTCAGTGCTCCAGAAAGAAAGAGAGAGAAGGGGCGACAAAGTAGGCCGTGTCGGCCGCGATACCAGCCCAGCGATCGCGGTATTATTGGAAGCGTGTCGAGTACAGAGAGACGGATAGGGAGTTGTGTGATGTGGTGCATAACGAGCAGAGTCTGTCCGTCGCCGCCGCCGCCGCCGCCGCCGCCGCTGCTGCTGCTGCTGCTGTCGGCGTTGCCGTCTGTTTGTTGACTGTCTCCATGCTGCTATCTTTAAATACTAGCTGCTATGCTAGTTGGGCGGATGGCTTGATGCCTTTCTACTGCCGTATAGCTCTGCCGCTCCGACTGGTTTACTCGTCTCCCTGCTGCTGCGTTTGACTACAGTCAGGGCAGCAGTTACTGCAGCTACTGATCGTCTCTGCTCTGTGCTGCTGCGACCGCCGCCGCTACCAAGTGAATCGCACTCTTTTAGCTGCCGGAGCTCTTAGAGACAGCTCCGCTGCTGCCGTCGCTGCAGCGGAGTGCGGAGGAGGGGTGAAGACGGATTGCTTGGATCGTGACAGTGGCCGTAGCTATTGCTGCTGGTGACTGCCGTCGATGGGTTTTGTGTGAAGCCATTACGAACGCTGATTGGGATGGGTTGACTGCGGCTTCTGCTGTTGTCGAAAGCTGCAGTCGCCGCTGCTATCGGTGGATCGGCTGACACGATTTAGTTATGCACTGTGATTATTATCACTACGACATCTTGTAGTGTTCCAGTTAGCGTGAAGGAAGCAAACGGAAGGTGTGCGTGTCATCGATCATGGCTTGGGTTCGCTGTGTCGGAGTAGGTGTATACATTGGTGTGCGTGAGTGTGCAGATGCGCCTGTGCCGTTCGTAGCACTGCTGCTGCTGCTGCTGTGACAAAAAAATATAGTGGATCCGTACATGGAGAAGCTGGAAGGCTGCCGACATTAATGAATGGCTGGCTGGTCGATACTGGTCAGCAGAGCTGCTCTCGTAGAAGATAATGGGCAGAAACGATGGGACTGCGAAAGACGATTCGAGCTAGCTAGCAGGAAACGGGATTGCAGGACGCTCCTCGTAAATGCCGCTACATAGAAAAGAAGACACAGCCGCACGCTCGTGAACTCTGCACGACACATTGTGTTCTATTCGCGCACTTTCTAGCCCATTGATACTCGAAGTAATGGTAGCACGACTGGACGGAGGGGACAAATGTTCGATCAATTCAACCAGTTGATTGTACGAGCCCTAGCCATGCAATAACAGCAGCGGCAGTAGCTTCAGTAAATCGAGCGGACATCTCCTACTGTTGTGTTAGAGCGAGTTTTTTAGCCAGAGTTTTTGCCAAATGTCGTAGTACACTGTTGTTTTTTCATTGTCGTTATTGTTGTTGTTGTTGTTGTTGTTAACGGTGAGAACGGTTGTCGTCACAGCATCCTAGATTGCTGCGGCTGCTGCTGAGATAGCCGAAATTGGCTTTCTGGGCATAATCGCCCCCTTTTTCCCGAACGGAAGCATCCGTCATACTGCCAGCGACTGTTCATTCAAACAACAAAGAGGTAGCTAGCTGTTATCTGGCAGAAGATAACAAATAACCAGTTACTTGACAGCCGCTCGCATTGAGCAACGGTTAAGCAGCCGAGTAGTAATACTGAACTGTGCGTGGCCACCGAAACATCAATGACATATTCTACGGTGCTACCACACTATGGTAAAGAGAACTGTAGCAGCCCATGATGATATAAGCACATCTTCGTCATTATTGCTTTGACCACACCTTGAATTGATCACTGAGAAAGAAGTGTTCGTCCGGAGTTAACTGCTGCTGCTGCTCCAGCTGCAGCTTGTACGGAAACAGCAGTAAAGTCCGTGCTGCAACTCGATCGCAAGAACAACAACAATAATAGTAACTTTCATAGGAACGGTGTTTCACAACCAATAGATTCGTGTCAAAAACCAAAACTCTCCCGTTCAGTCTTTTTGCGAGAGCTCGCCGTTGTAAACACCTATTGCAGAACCTGTCACTTACACAGAGCCCTCTAGAACGAGCTAGGCTAGGTGGCAGGGGGTTGCAAGGGCGAACCGTTCAAGCCACTGAGCGAGCAGCATCAACAGCGGCGGCTCAACTCTTTCTAACCCTGTTACGTCTTTCGCGCTCTCACGCTGCCTTCTAAATGGGTAGGGGGTAACGCTGTAGAACGACAAAGCGCATCATCAAAGAAGGGCAAACGATAGTAAATCTACTGTGATATCAGCGCTGCGTCTGCAAACAGCTGAGCAGGATGGTATTAGCGAATCAAGTGCGGACGAATGAAAAGACGCTCGCAGATGAAAAACAAAACAAGGGAGTACAGTACCGATTCACGGCCCTGCGCTGATGATGCAGTTTAATGCGGAGATTCGTGCTGCAGAAACCGCTATTCGTGACTGGATTGGCCGTGAAGATATTTCATAAACAACAAACACACATATCCGGTTTTGGTAGTGTGGTCGGTTTTATGGCGTTTCGGAACTAGGCAGGTCAGGACGTATGAGAAAATTGTTGGTGACGCGAAGTACCGCAGTAATCCGTGTATACGTCTTTCACAAACTGAAGCCCATGAGGGTCCTGGTAGAACTGTATAGAAGAAGTCGTTTTGCTGGCGGCAGCAGTACCCCCAACTGCCTATGCGGGCTTGTCGACGAACAGCCACAAGTTGACGACGACGATATTCCCCGAGCGAAATCGTATCTGGTAGAATCCACTTGCAATTATCAATCAAGTGATAAATTGCTATTATCAACGAACAAAAGCAACCAGTGATTGTGAAGGGGACAGCGAACATGCGCATTTGTGTGAAGGGTTAGGGGTAAATTAAATCATTATTGAATACAGTGAAGTGGAAGTGAATTCCGTATGCTCCGCAGCGCAAGTAAAAGTGGAAAAAACACATCGTTCTTAGTTTGGTTGCTGTCAAATCCAAAAATAACGACAATAACAGGTACAGGCCATCGCTTAAGGGACTTCTGCATCTTTAACAATTAAGTGAAAATTGTTTGTATCTATATTTGAATCTCATGTTACTGATGACGCTGACGATGAGACTGCGTAAGTCAAATGAAACAACGCAGCAGGTCGAACGACTCTAGTGTGGCAACAAGAGCAGAATAAGGGTAATCGGTTAGCGATCGGATTCTGGAATGAGGAAGTTCGGCAGGTACGGAAGATTTGTCGAAGATCGCTATGTGTCGATTCACAGTAGACAGAACACTGACTGGGAGATGGGCATGAAAAGTTGCCGTCGTGTCTCCGTTAAGTGACGACAACCTCACGTCAGGGGGGTGGCTTGGATCATAGCTACGGCAACAACACGCGCACTCGCATAACTTCATCATCGACGTATGTCCGAACGGAACAAGAAGAAACGTCAAACAACTATTCTCCTTTCCCTAAGGACACGGCAGAAACCCACCGTTCTCTAGATACGCGTCCACAAACGCCGTAGGGTGTCTAGCACTATTAGCACCGTCACTTCCGCCACTGCCCTACCGTAACAATCTATCGAATCATCGTAATTTGCCGTGTGTTTGGCTTGTAGAAGCGATATATATATATATATATATATATATATATATATATAGATATATGTTATTAGCGAAAAAAAAATACATGTGTGTGCGGAAAGCAGAACTAGGTGAATCGGGGTCCTGTAGAAGATGTGCGTTATTGTATTAGCGCAGTTAGTCGATCACCCCGTGATATTGTTGGCGTGAGCATATATACATAGAAAGATAGAACAAGCCAGGAAGCGGAGGAAACTGTTTAACAAACAACTCCCCCTCGTCATACCGCGACGACTCCAACTGGAAAAGTTGCAGCATTCGTGTGTGCACTGGCTAGCACTAGCGCAACGGCACGAGTGGCCCCGTAATGAACTACATGAAGAAATTACTTGGTGGTGGGGGTGCGGGGCCCCCGCCGCTGGCAAACCAGGACCCACAGGATGCCCTTGGCTTGACCCATCTGAATAAGCTTTATGGTGAATTGGCCGAACCCTCAGAGCCACTCACTCAGGCCGAGCAGCAGTTAAAACTGTACAACATGCTCCCGCTTTTCTGCAAAGTGTTTCACAGCTGCCCCGCCGAGAGTATGCAAGCCAGCTTCGAGTACGTCGTACCGTTCGCCAGAGCCGTAGCTAAACTACTCGTGAGTGTTCGATTTTATACCGTTATAGATCGTGGAGTAGTTTGGGGTTGTGCGATAGGAGAGGGCTTGACGCGCGAAGATACACAAAACCGGGAATAAACAGATAAAGACGCACATGCAATATCCATTCTAATTATAGACAGGCATTACACACTTGCTTTTTTTTGCTGTAAATAGTATAGTGTATAGTGAGGTTGTTTGTTGTTTAGCTGACCAGGTCTTATACTAGCTGCATCATCCTCTCGTGTTCACATTTGATTTACAATCGCTCACTGTTTCACAGGTTTTTTTTTTGTTCGACTTCTTAACGGGGTAAAATGATACAGGTTTTCTGCACATTTAGCCAGAATAGATTTACTTTGTTCTGTAATATTAGCACAGGGGGTAATAGGAAAAGCATCTGACTCGTTGGTCTTATCAGCGAGTAATCCTCTTAGCCGGGTACGCACGAATGTGTATGCATGTGTGCATCACTAGCCTTGATTGACGTGATTCATGATTGATGCGAAATTATAAAGACGTAAGAAATAATTAGACTCTGTGCGACATTTAACGTTGCTACTTTCAAAGAAAAGCAATAACATGGTGCAATTTGCAATACATTTTGCTATAATTTTTAGTAATTAAAAAATGCTATTCACTGCGTGCACCGATAGTCGTCGACGCGGTGTTCGCCGCGAGGTCTTCCGTATTCCATAACAGGACATGTTGGCTGACAGGAATAAATTTGCTGTTGACGCTTGGCTATGTCGTTTTGTTGCAGTGAACAAGATAGCATACACCGACTAATGGTTATCAGAAAACGGGGGACCTTTATATTGCGACATGTACGAACGAAAAACTCTGCTTTGCGTTGAATGTAACTTAAGCTAAATCAAACGTCACTGGAAATCGCTTTCTTAGCAATTCAGATAGATTTTTGATTCATAGCAGTCGTCAATAAACTGCTTTGTTACACTACATAAAAACTATGGAACTTTCATTAGCCGCATGGCTGTGCTTTATTATGAGTGTGCGCAGGAAGCCACAAAAACAGTGGAAGAAAATGGAGTGAAAGTAAACCTAATCTTATTTGTATGAAGTAATTTCTAGATGCTTGAATACCGGGAAAAATAACTCTAATTTCATTTGAACATCCATAAAGTGGAAAGGACGAGAGCACTGAATCGAAAAAAAAAAAAAACGCCTGTATTTGAAAAAAGTGTGTCGATTGAAAAAGACGTGTCGTCGTAACGGGCATCGTTCAAACAGTGCCCGCAGACTGTCCAGTGTTATGTATGCCTAATACGTGCCTGCGTTGTACAACAAAACGGCCGGGCCCTCATTGACGTATTTCGGATTCAACAGGTCTGACTTGTTGTGATTCTGACTAGAGGAGGGCGATTACGCACTAATCATCATCATCGATACCCCAACAGTACGGTCCACGGAGACACTGTTCGGGTATCGAGCGTCGCCTACAAGTTCACGTTATAAATCTATCGGATTTGTTTGTTCGCCGGCAAAATAAGATCCCTGCTGACCTGTTTTAGTAATAACATTACTAATTATGGTATTTCGGTAATTGCACAGGCATAAACACTAGCGCATTGGGAATCCAAATAAACGAAGCAGTGCGCAAGCAGGTAAAGTTGGTCGTGACGCAACAGGAGAGCCACGTCAACTGTGCCGAGAGATCCTAAACGAAACAACGCGAGTGGCTTTTATATAAAGGGCAAACGATGTGCTGTCTATAAATTGGACAGTGAATTTTTGGGCCGGACATCGCCTTTTGACGTTGATGCCGCGCCATTAGGGCAGCTGCGCAGGGCATTCGTTTCAATTTTTCAGTTGGGTCGGCCAGTACGATTCATACGATCGGGTACGGAATCTTGTGGCGATTGCATGTTTAGAAATCTGGCGAAAGTAGACTGAATAGATAAAGATTGTAGTCACGGAAAGAGGATGCGAAGAAGCAACTTATTAGTTAGATGGTTTATGACAGATGGAGGTATAAATGTAATTTAAATTTTTCGGGAGAGTACATTTTTGGGGAGGCTAACGGATAAATAGACCCAGCTGTCGCCACCTGTTAAGAGTCGTCAATAATGCTTGATGTGGTGTACTGTTTTTAATTAATATCTATTTTTACTCTTACTAATATTATTGCAGCTGAACATTTGAGGGAATTTTGCTTTAGCGAACTAGCAAAAATTACGCGTGTGTGCATTTATTTAAGAGCAGTCGAAAAAACAAATTCGCTCCATTCGTTTTTTTGTTTGTTTTGGCACATGAGCTGTGGAAGGATTTCATCGAGAGAGCTCCTTCGGCTTTTGGAGTTGTGTACATAGATAGTTTCAGAGGACGCCACGTACCGTTAGTGCGGACAGAAGAGGCACATTTGTGGAATAGGTGAACGTGAGTAAATATTCGATTATAACATTATGGATTAACGATCCTGACCGCTCTCATGTCCAACGGTAGTTACAATGTTATGTATTCTATTCTCGTCACAGTCACCGAGCTAAAACCATTCTGCTATTGGAGTGCTCGTAGTGCAATCCCGAGTGTTCATCTATATATGTGTATACGGTAGTTGTTGAATATGCCAAAATGCGCGGTTTGTATCTTAGTTTTTTCAGATTTATTCCGAAAGCGTGGTTATGTATGTTTTCGTGTAGGCCCACCGCAGCCGTGTTGAGTAATTCACTTCTTGATTTATGGCGGCATCTGTAGTTCCCACCAACTGTTAACTTGGTGCCAATAGCCGTTTTCCTGCGGTGTAAATGTGAAACAAGCACGCAGCTAACTTAGTAGCATTCTAAGAAGGATTGCATATTCCCTTATGCTTACGTTCGAGGCCTACGTGTCGTAGGATTAAGTAAATGTTGACCTGAGCGGACCTTAAATTGTCGGTCTCTGTATCCATTGGCAGCGTTGGCCAAAAAGAAAGAAAATCGAACTTCGACGCTTTGAATTGCGGTCTTTCGTATTTCGTAAGAGCTTCCCCTTTTTTTTTGCACATTCAGTAAGCTTTCGCAGATACTATGGCCAATAATATAACCTAGATTAATAGTTGTACCTACGTATATGAGATTACAGATAATGAATGAACTAGTGTCATGGCAGGTATATGATTGAACGACTGAGATCCTATATAATGTATGACATCATAATCGAGATAAATGTTCGATTGGAAACGTTCATTGTTACCATACGAAATTATTGCTTTATGTTACTGCTCTTCGTGTTTTCCCCGAGTATCGATGGCTATTCTTCCCACTATTTTATTTCTCTGCTAATTATAATAAAATTTCAGGTATTTCTAGTATCTTCTGCTTGATTGACCTCTCCGCTTTCACGAATCGTTTCCCGTAGTTTCGAAACTAATATCCCGATGACATCTTTGTAATTTAAAATCCCTACGAACGGCGTAATTATGTGCATCGATAGCGATACTTGTATACGCCTGTAGCGCTTCGTCATCACAACATACGCGCAAGGTGACATGTGTTCATATATATGCAGGAAGTAGTAACTAGCCGAGTTTTTGAAAGGGGTATATGTAGTAATTGGCTCCATGATGTTTTTCTGGTACGAAGGCTGCTAGTAGATCTGAAACGTTATGCGAATAATGACTATTGTGCTAAAAGTAACGGTTGGACGGCAAAGCTAAATGTGTGCAATAAGCCTTACCTAAAATTATGCACCGTTAACTGGTGCAACTGGATAAAAATGGGTAGCAGTAAGGGGCGTGAAGCGTTCGATTTCAGCTGCCACTCAACTAATTAGCAGGAAATATTATAGGTCCGTTAGAGAATGCTAACGTTTGGGGGAACAGGATATTAGGTGAAATGTTAGTTGCTTGTTCTATAAGTGCAACGCTTCAAAGTTCTATAAGTGCAAAGTTCATAAAATTATGAAACGTCAACTGATCTGGTGAGATTCGGTTGACCGGATTTAAGTTTCACCATATCTTAGCCTATACCTTTTTCACCTTTGTCGCTATTGTATGAAGGCGATGTCCTTCTTAACTTCTAGAATTACCTATTAAGTTTATTCAGAACCAAATTGTTCACTACGACACTTTTGTAAGCCGCCGCTCTGTTCGGCTATCGTTTGAGCTGCCCTTTGACGTCACAGCCCATTCATTTCAGCTTCTCAAAGATTTCGTTTTCTGTTCTTGTCCTGTTTTCAAAAAAGGTTCCTGCGGTCAACAAGTGCAAGCAAATGTAGCTCCTTATCATGTTCTACAAAGTACAGGTAGAGGAATATCATTGTTACAGGTGGTGCCGGTATTGAAAATGTGACCGATTTCGATTGATGAAGTAGGTGAACGTGCTTTTCCCGTGGGGGATCTTTTTTCCGCTGGTCTTTACGGTAAGAAAAAGGCGTCGTGTCGAACTTCGCCATTTGCAAACTGCACCGGTTTTGATCGAATCACAGGTACGTTGCCGTACGCGTAGCAAGCCCGTTCTATATCCGTCTCTCGATTTCAGCGATGTTTTCAATCCAGAACGGCACTCGCTTAGCTCCTGTGGGCTTTTCGATCAAGTCCAGAAAATCGATTAGGTCTAACAGCTTTCATACTTCCTCGTGCCTGTCGTAATACTAGGTTATGGCTAGGGTAGCTTTTATCTGCTGCTGCCTTTCTTGCGGTATCTGGCGTAAATTAATTGTGCCGGTTAGGATCATTAACAATGACATCCCCATCATCGATGATGCAAACGGCCCATCGTCTCTTGAAAACGGGCTACACGGGGGCGGTGGGTCACGTTGATTGTGAGGCATATTTGCCTCGGCTCCTTTTTAGGCGTTTCTGATATTGCCATGGACCAACCTGCATCAGAGAAATTAGAGATGAACGCGAAAGTATAAGACTCAAAAGAAGTATGTGGGATTGGACGATGGGGGGTGGATGAAAAAGAAAGCGCAGAACTGAACGACAGAGTATAGTTACTGTGGTGTATAGACGGTAGTAATGACAAGATCACAGCATTTTCTTTTACGTTCAAGGCCGC